GTAACTAGCTCTATAAGAGCGGGTGAATTGATAAACACACGTGGATGTGGCCCAAAGTGACAGTTCATCCTTTACACATGTTCAAATCACTAGCTAACTGGAGAAAACAATCCTAAGTTGGTGGAAAAAGAAGGTCTTCTGCAGTGCTTTACACAATCGATACTTGGGCATCGCCTCCATTGTATTTCCGTTAAGCCCAATATTGGTAAATATTATCTTGCAACTTCACGGGTTCTTTCTTAGTAGTTTTTAGGTTTAATGTTCTTCGCAATGAATCAGGAAGGATAAAAATTCTCCATGAACACTCTTCGAAGTATTGTCAGCTCCTCATTTTATTGAATCATCTTGTACACAGTAAATAAATTGAACTTCATTTCTTACCTAGTGGAAACCTACTTTGGTATATTGTCCATTCCAGGTTTGTTTCTTGTAAATTCTTCTTATGAAGCCATCAGAATGTTCAGGAAGTGGAATTCCGAGTTATTTTCACTTTTCATGGTAAATTTAGTTGACTTATGAGATTTTTCGAACTTTTGTGGTACATTTGCAAAGTTATTGTTCTTCTCACAGATGTTTGAAGTGTCATCCATGTATGTCTTATATAGATAGAAGTGGTCAATCAATGGATGTGATTTAGTATTCTCCACACTAACTGTGAAGTAATCGGCTGAGAAAAGCACCAATAATGAACCGTTTGCTACTCCTTTTTTTCAGTAAATAAAGTTCATTATTAAGTTTGAATTGTACATTAAAAGTGGATCGTAAGAACGATTTCCTTAGAAGTTGAAAATTGTGAACCATTAGAAACTGACCCAGTGGCTGAATGGTTAATGCGTTCGCCGTGAAACCCTGAAGGTCCTGAGTTCCATCCCTAGCCAGATCGTGGGTGCCTACTTCTGAAGAGTCCCGTACTAGTTGGATGAAACAGCTGTCCAGTGCTCCCAGATTTCCTTTGTTCCTCCATGATGAATACTACTTCCTTAGAAAATGTTTCAGAATCTAAGTTTCAAGCTGGTTGACCTCAATAGAATCAAATAGAAAGCAGATTTGTTCTGTTAAAAGGACACTTATGAAGAGTGACATGATATTCAATGATACATATATTTCACCTTTTTGAATGATATTTTAAATAACAAATTGAACAGTAACTTTCTTGATTCATCGAAGTACTTTTAACTTTCATGACCATATGTCTTAGGTCGACTAAATAGATCGTATGATATAATCGTAATATATTAAGCGACTAACCATAATACTGTTTTTCAAGGGAAGGCATATTTTAAACGGAATTTTTTTCTACTGTATTCCATTACCAGTAATTAAGGCAGATATACCCCGTCAAAAAAAGTTTATTTATGAACTAATAATGATGTATATGTCACTAGTTGATCTTCCAATGCCATAATTTCTGATTTATGTTCATTATCTAATAATATGGATAAAAAAGAAGGATATATTATTGATGATGAAACCCATTTATCGTAATTACGTATACTATAATGAACTTAGGACTGCTTATCATTTATGAAGTGCAATTTAGGTGACTGATGATATTCTAGGGACTGTATAATTCAACTCTCTTTAGACTAATGTTGCTAGATAGACAGTACTTCATTATATAACGACAAGTCAAATCAAATTCTGTTTGAAATTCACAGTCGTATGGTTGTGGTTTTGAAGTTAATTCACAAGTATCTGTCACATTGATTTTTTGAGGATAACAAGGTGATTTAACAAGCATTTCTAACATCATTTTGATGTTTCTTATCATCTAAAAGCCAATATCTTTTGTGCATCAGTTGAAAGGGATCATGTTCTCCTTACTTCGATTAATTGACTTTGTTTCTAAGGGATTTCTACAGTCTAGCTTGAATCTTCTATCATCTCCGAAGGGATAAATCTTGCAGAGAATGTTGAACTGGAGAATATCCTAATAACTTTTCCAGGTTGTTAATAGAGTATATCTTTTCAACGAAGTTGGTGTTGTCTTGATTCTAGCAACCGGGAAAGCAGTTGATAACGCAATAAGTTACTTGTGTGGTATCTGTAGATGCTGGAGTCTACTGATTGGATTGCTGATACATACATCTGAAACCAAACAAAAGATTAATTGACATCCTTTATATACTTTCACATACCTTCTTCAGCGTTGTTGCCTATCGGACAAATGACCATGCTTCTGATGTTGAAACCGAATTTAAAGAGTATAACTTCAATGATAGCTCTAATTGTCTTCTAAAACACCGAAATTCAATTCAGTAAGACTTGCATAAGTCGATAACTAAGACATATCGCGAAACACATTCTCATCAGTAGCCATTACAACAAAAACTAATTCAGTATTAGCTGCAACACTCGCATACCATTTTATATAAAACTTTAAGTCATAACAGCCAGTTACATGAATAGCTACCATGGAAGTTTCATTCAGTAACTGATACTTTTGAAGAAAGAGGGAATTTCTATAAAGATTTTTATAACCCAGCAGTTAACCAATGATTGGACCGAATTGATCGGTCTCTATTGGCATATGGGCTCCTGTGCGGATGCCTCGATATTGCCAGCTTTCTAATTATGTTAATGATGGATCGTGGCTAGCAGTGAAACCCAGGATGCTCATTTCTTCCTATTTGGGACTCGTCAGCTGGACGTACCTGCTTCCCGGTGAGTAATGTTGTTCCCATCGGGATTCGGACTCGAGAGCGATCGCTCCAAACGCCAGAGCGTTATCCACTACACCACCCAGCCACGATACCCACTTCTTGGACATCCTGGATTCCACTGCTAGCCACGATCCATCATTAACATAATCAGATTGCTGGCAATATTGAGGCATCCGCACAGGTGCCCATATGGCAATAGTGACAGATCAATTCGGTCCAATCAACGATGGTATCATATAAAAACCCTGATATTAAAAACTATACCCGTCGCACAAGAAGTGGCTATCGTGGCTCAGTGGTGTAGTGGATAACGCTCTGGCGCTTGAAGCGATCTCAGCCGAGTCGGAATCCTGGTGGGAACAACATCACTCACTGGGGTGTAGGTACCTACAGCTGACGAGTCCCAAATAGGACGAAATGAGCATCCTGGATTCCACTGCTATCTACTATCCATCACTAACTTAGTTACTTAGTGGATTATCTCAATGATTTCCATTATCTCACTTGTTCTTTTAAGTTAGTGGTATGCATTGTTTTGAGGAGTATTCGCTGGCAATATGTGATGTCGATTATGCGACATTGCATTGTTTTGCACAGAGTTTGGGATACGGATTTTCAATGGGGGCATTTCGCCCTCTCTTCTATCTTTCCATGTTGTCATGTTTCCCTTAGCTTGCAAACTTTGCAGTTTTATCTTCCAGGTGTATTTTACCAAACTAATCTTTTTCGCTCAATCTGCATCCTAAACTTATTCTTCATGATAGTCTTTTTATTCCCTTCATTCTTCACCTTATTCACTTTTTTGGATTTTATGGTATTTTGATTTGGTTTTGTTGCTTTTTGGTTAAATTCCAGCCATCAGTTTACATATGGTCTCTTATTCTATCGCCTTTATTCATGTTTTGGTTTCAGACAAGACAAGACGAAATCAGTATAGAATTTCATATTGGTTCAAGTTGCCATACACTTCGCAGTGGCATGAACAGAACAAATAGACAGAAAGAGTAAGCGAGAGAATGAAAAATCTTGAAAATAATGGTCATTGCAAATATTCAAGCTTTAGAAGCATTCAAAGAGTGAACACATCTACGCCATTGTGACCGATTTTCAGCCATATCATCAACAGTCAGTCTTCAACCACTGACTACTATGGTTTTGGAGATCCAAGCCAGTCAATCTACAACCCCCCACATATGTTAGATTAATAGTTAGGGAGTTCATGGACTGGTGACACGTCTTGGTTTGGCCACCCTCAACCGTCTTCCTACCTAGTCCAACTTCCCCTAGTATTGCACATTGAGGTAGGCGGTGGCTCGCTCGGCATGTGCAGTACATGTCCAAGACATCTCAGTCGACTAAGGTTCATAACCTCATGAACCGACCTTCCTGTGTTGCTTGGTACGCTTAGGTTTACCCCAATGGTGCTCATACGGCGATTCTAGCATCCGCAAAAAACGCTACAAAGACACCTATGATCAAAAACTTGTAGTCCCTTCATATCTTCTGTTTTCAGGTTTCTTTCAGCAATGAAGATTTTTACTGTTTGAATTTTGGTGTCATATGATGGTCGATCCTTTATTTTCTTTCTATACTTGATAACCTTTATCACCTATCTAAGTTTAGGATGGTCTATTTACGGTGTTTCAGAACTCGCAGTTAATCTAACCCTCTATGAAACTTGCTCTAATACAATCAAGTAAGCCTGTGGTCGAACAATTGGATGGGGTATAGCAACGGGATATTAAAAGTATTAAACAGCACTTGGTACCCACTTCACAAAACGTGACTCTCGTGTATCAGTAACCTAGTGGATAAGGCTTTGGTGTTTGAAGCGATGCGTACAAAGTTTGAGTCTCAGTGGGAACAACATCAGTCACTGGGGTGTAGGTACATCCAGCTGACGAATCCTATATAGGACGAAACGCGCGTTCTGGATTCCACTGCTAATGACCACGATAAATAAGCCCTTCTTAGTTGTCACGCTATACTTAGGTTTTTTCGAAGAATATTATTCACTTATTCATTTATTTTGTTTTTGTCTTGGCTTATCGATTTGAAACAGTAAAATTTTAACGGATAATATTGTTTCATTTTTGGAAAATTCTAAAATGATTGAATCAGTACAACTTGACTCTAGAGTGCCTCGAATTATCCACAGGAAATCTATTGATTCGTTTTGTGTAGGTCAGCTTGTTGATTGGTTAGAATTAATTGATCGCATTATTGGTCATACCTACCTTTCAAGAGAGGAATTTAGACTGTGTGCCTATTCCAATCAACCAATCAGAATGTAAATAAATTTTCTTAAAAGGATTAAGAGGTGACAGTGACTTATGTGAATGGCGAACTCCTGTGCGTGTAAATTGTTTGTATAAATGCATGTCGAATTGTGCGGCTGTTTTTAATATGACTGAACCAAATATATATATATGTTACTTTAATACAACAATGTGTGACTGACATAAACTTAAGGATACAGACTAGGCAGTCAAGAAACTGGACGAAAAACGCTTTTCTATATCTTGATCTCAAATTATTTTAAAACGACACATTCATAAAAGGTTTTAACGTTAAAACTGACGGTTAAGCCTTTAAAATTGTGTCTTTCACAATTGAATAAAGTAGTCATTACTTTCAGACGTAGTATTTAAAAAGATCAAAATTTCGTTGACATTTTTATCTACAGCGAAATATAAGTGTTACTATTTTTCGTGTGATTCTCTACACTGGAATTCATTCGGAATAAACAATGGCTGCTATTCAACTTGATGACCGTGATAGAACTATCGTTTTGGGACGTAGTTTGTATAGATCATCATCTCCTGGAACAATGCGATTAGAAGTAAGTTAGAATATGAAATTTTTGCAAGCATTTTACACATCCTCATTGATAATGAATTGAAATCGCTTTAAATTTTATGTTCACTGCATTTTCTGGTATTTTTTTTGCATAATTTTGAGTTTGTGCAGGAGATATGTTGCTCAGAATGATGATTGCTCAGTGTTTTCCAAGATTACTTTATTAAGAAATTATCTAGCCAGGTATTGAACCATTCGAAAACAAACTTTAGAGCCTAGAGAACACCAAATAATTATTTTCGTACTGAGTGATGATTCAAGGTGAAAAAAAAGATCTGGGCTGTGAAAAGATTCTAACCAGCTGCCACCGGGTTACCAGCCTGGTTCTCTACTAACTGAGCTATGACACCAGGCTGCCGAATAGATCTCAATTTCACTTCAGTCACAAAGGGTTCTGCTCGATTGATAATAATTTATTAACCGAAAGGTTAGTCAATCAGGACTCTATAAATTTTGAGATTTTTACAAAGTTCATCCCAACAGAGCAGTTTGATAATCTGAAGTGGAGGTGAAAACTCGAAAAATTTATGTTTCAAAACTTTTGTATCGTTTTTTGTTCGCATCCCTTTTCCCAATCTTCAACCTCTGAAACTAAATTAGTTTCGAATAATTCGATCCAATGAAACAACGGAAAATTATAAGTATATCAGTCAACAGTAAAATGGTAATTGTTAAGGTCAAGGTAGAGAAAATGGTGTCACAAAACGTTTTTGAATGCAAAGTTCATGTATAGATAATCCTTCAGCTATACATAAGTGGTGGAAATGTAGATCTTTGGAGTAGTTCAATTTAACTTTGTGTATTACCTTAGAGGATGAGAAGATGAATGACCTCACTCTACTAAGTGTTCACACATAGATGAAGTTATTTTTCTACTCTCGCATTTGTTAAACCAAACCGGATAATTTTCAACAACACTCTTTCAGAGGGCCAATTTACAATATCCAATACAGTCAGCTCCACAGGAGATACGCATAGATGTGGATAAAAGTGGTAGCCTATCCTTGATGCATTATACAATCAGATGGAGGCTGGAGAAAATCAGTCTCAGTCTATCAGCGTAAAAAGTACTATTGATAAACTTTGAGAAATGACTTTTCAGGACATTGTCTATGGTGTCCCTTTTGAATTCCAGATTCATGATTGAAATTTTCAAAGGAACTGTAATAGGATGAGGGATAATTCGTTTCTTCAGGTTTTTATCAATAAATCTTTTACGGTATCTGTTACTCGATAGTGTTATTCTAGGAGTTTCTTTCGATTACCCCTCATCCTATTACAGTTCCTTTGAAAATTTCAATCATGAATCTGGAATTCAAAAGGGACACCATAGACAATGTCCTGAAAAGTCATTTCTCAAAGTTTATCAATAGTACTTTTTACGCTGATAGACTGAGACTGATTTTCTCCAGCCTCCATCTGATTGCATAATGCATCAAGGATAGGCTACCACTTTTATCCACATCTATGCGTATCTCCTGTGGAGCTGACTGTATTGGATATTGTAAATTGGCCCTCCGAAAGAGTGTTGTTGAAAATTATCCGGTTTGGTTTAACAAATGCGAGAGTAGAAAAATAACTTCATCTATGTGTGAACACTTAGTAGAGTGAGGTCATTCATCTCCTCGAGATTTTCATCATCTAAGGTAATATACAAAGATCTACATTTCCACCACTTATGCATAACTGAAGGATTATTTATACATGAACAAAAACCGAGACTTTGTATTTAAAAAGGGTGGGAGACTACTTTCTCTACCTTAACCTTAACAATTCCCACTTTAGTTATTTTATCAATTTCCTTTCATTTCACTTTGGTATACTTCTGTTTTATTATCTTCAACATTATCACCCATTTTTCACTTCATTAATATCATTTGACTCATATATCACTAATTGATGAAAACCATAGGTTTATACTAATAAAATGATTATTCTATTGGTAATTGCTTCAGTTAACTGTACATTTTGGAAACAAACAAAAAGGTATAGTCCATAGGCTATAGTGAACTCATAAATTTACGATGTCTTCTTACTTGAATACTGTATATGCTTCTATCCAGCCAGTAATATTGATAATTGAAAATTATTATTTACTTTATACACAGACAAGAATAAAGGAACTTGAAGATCAACTAGATGAAGAGAGAGCAGCGCGAATAAAGGTGAGTAGATAGATCCTTTTAAAAATGAAATGATATCCCTTTCTACTTCGTATAATAATAATAATAATGACTCAGAAAAACGATAACATAATCGCAAATGAGCATTTTAAAATGGTGAATTTGGACAAAAAGAAAAACAGTTTGGCTTTAAAAGACACTATTATTATTTGTCCCTTGGGTTCCTAATAGAACATAGGGCTTCAGTAGCAGGTTTCCAGTACGCTCTGTTCTCTACAATCTTTTGAACTTAACTCCATGACAGCCCACAAGCTCTCATTTCCTCCTCACAGCATCTCCTCCATGTCACCCTCACCTTGGACGCCCAACTCGTCGCTTCCTATCGGGGTTCCACTCGACGACCTGACCTAGCGCGTGATGTCCCCAGTCGGCCTTCTCAGTGTATGTCCAATCCATCTCCGCTCTCTTCTTCTGCATATTTGTTGGGCGACAGGTTCTTGGTTGTTTCGTTGCCAGCCAGCCAGAGTTCCTTGTTGCTTATTCTTTCTGGTCATCCGATCTGATCTTCAGTAACGAGTCAGATTAGGCAGTTGTTGATGAATATCTCTAGTTTGTTGGAAATGCCTTTCGTAACCCACCAAGTCTCTGAGCCATATAGAAGCACTGACTCGACTGACGTTGGTGTTGAAAATCCGGATGTTGTTCACGCTTTATGCTGAGTGCAGAGATCTTCACACTGGTTTCAGGTTAATGAACGCCTATTTTGCTTTTCTGATCCTGGCTTTGACATCCTCGTCTGTACCACCTGTGGCTGAAACGATGCTGCCCAGGCAGTTGAATAGGTGAAAGAGACTACTTCCTTTAAGTTTTTCCCATTGATGGTGATTGGAGCTTGTTTTTCTTGATGCCATTGGTTGGATATCTTCATCACCTCCGTCTTCTCTACGTTAATTTGAAGACTCATCTTCTCTGCCTCTTCTGCTAACCTATTAGTTTTCGCCTGCAGATCTTAGGGTTTGTGACATTAAACATAAGTCATCATAGGCGAAATCCAAATTTCCTAGGATGTTTTCCCCGGTCCAGCCAGCGTATCCCCGTCTTCTCACTCCTCACTGTTTGTTGCATGATCCAGTCCAGTCCACTACAATCAGGAATATCATAGGTGATAGTAGACAGCGTTGTTTTACTCCTATCTTCACTTCAAAGACGTCGCTGAGCTTCCCATTGTGAATTACTTGTCATGTGGCGTCTTCATATAGTTGTTGAAAAATCTTTGTACTGAGCAATGTTCCTCATTGTTATGATGTCTCAGTTTTGTATGAAACATTGTTATTGATCTGAACATTCCCACATTGTTTTGGTGGTATGACTAGTAGTCTATTTTCTGCCTCCATTGTAATGTAATTCGCTGATTGGTTAACTTTTACTCTTACTATGCGGACAAGGTCAGCTTTCATGTGTATACTTATTCACGTGTTTTGGATTGATTCATTGTTATAATATTATATTCTCAGAGTAATACACTCTCCCATCTGCCAGCTTCTGTCTTCTCTCTATTCGTCCCGGGGTTGCAGCCAGTGTCTCTTGCGTACCAAGTTAGCTGTCAGTTAAGCGCGCGTATTATATTCGTTTCGGAATATATACATATGCCATTAGCGCGTCGAACTCATAACAGTGGCGACGGGGATGGAATCAAAAATGGACTATTCTATGATGGACAAAATTCTCGAACTACAAGTGAAGATTATCGAATTATTAACTCAGTCCAGAATTCCTGCAGCTGACTCATCGAATCTTACGCAAGAATCAACTCTAACGTTGAATGATATCGCTGCCTCATGTCAACGATCTGTGAACCTACAATGGGATACAAGTTTAGTCCAATCCTGGCGCCAGGGTGATCATGATGTGCATGTAGTTCGCCAGAAATCCAATTCCTCTGCATCCTTTTCTTGCCCAAAGACCCCTAATTCTTCGTCTCCTGTTCGTCATCCCAGCAGCTCATACAATACTAGAAGAAACATGAAAAGACCCCACCGTCTCCCTGCTGGCATTGTGGCGCATGGCATTTCGTTAGATATTGTCCTTATAAGCAGAATAAAGGCAGAGATTGTAATACTGTGGGTCACAAGGACGGATTTTGCAAGCAGCCGCATCACAAAGAACAGGCAGGTCATCATCCAGTCACCGTCGAAGATCGAAGTCTCGACCAGTCGGCAAATCTCTTAGCCTTACTGCTGCTTTCAAACACATGCATCAGCTCGGAGAAAATATATCACCGTCCAAATAAATAACCATTCAGTACGCCTACAAATCGACACAGCTTCCGATATAACGATTATTTCCAAGAAGTTATGGTGGAAGATTGGTCGACCTCCTTTCCAGAAGACTGTTCAAACTGCGATTAGCGCATGCAGTGGCCGATTACCACTAACAGGTCAGTTATCCTGTACTGTATCTTTTCACGATATTTCGATAAATGGAATTTGTTATCTGTCTGACGCAGACTTAAACCTTCTGGGTCTCGACTGGTTTGAAAGTCTGAAACTCGCCGACCTTCCACTGAATATTGTGCAACAAACTGGAAGCACCGTCAAACCTCACGGCGAGCCTTAATGATATTATTACTGGATATTCAGAGGTATTCCAACCTGGCCTCGGTCACTGCACCACAACCAAAGCCGTTCTACGCCTGAAACCAAATGCATCACCTGCTTTTCGTCCTAGAAGACCCGTCCCATATGCATCGCTTCCCCTCGTCGAGGCAGAACTGAAACGACTTCAGGAACAGGATGTCATTACTCCAGTATCCCATTCTTCTTGGGCAGCTCCAATCGTCGTCATAAAGAAAGCTAATGGCTTAATCCGACTATGTGCTGACTTTTCGACAGGGTTAAATGCTGCTTTGGAGCAACACCATTATCCCTTACCTATTCCAGATGATTTATTTACTACTCTAAATGGAGGTAAATACTTCGCGAAAATCGATCTGGCGGACGCATACTTACAGGTCGAAGTCTCTCCAGAATGTCGTGAACTACTAACTATCAATACCCATCGAGGTCTTTTCCAGTACCATCGTCTGCCATTCGGCATTAAGACTGCCCCCGCTATTTTTCAACAGATCATGGACACTATGCTAGCAGCATACCAGGTGTTGCTGCATACCTTGATGACGTCATAATAGTTGCCACCTGTTCAGCGGAATTAACGAATCGAATACGGTTGGTCCTACAGCGAATCCAAGACAAAGGCCTTCGACTCAGAAAGGAGAAATGTCAATTCTTCCTAAAGTCAGTAAAATATTTAGGTTTCATCTTTGATGCATCTGGTAGACGTCCCGATCCTGAAAACATTCGTGCTATACAGCAGATGCCCACGCCAACAGATGTCGTGACTCTCCGAACCTTTCTTGGTCTCATCAGTTACTATTCGGCATTCCTGCCCTCCCTACATGATATACGGGAACCTTTGAATCGTCTCCTACGCAAGGATGCCACATGGTCCTGGTCGAGAGAATGTGAAACGGCTATAGAACGACTCAAGTCCACTCTCAGCTCTGATCTCCTGTTAACGCATTATGACCCACAGCCACCAATCGTCGTTGCCGCAGATGCTTCCACCGCTGGTGTTGGGGCTGTCCTATTGCACGAATATCCGGATGGTTCACAAAAAGCTGTCATACATGCATCTCGATCACTCACGTCAGCAGAAAAACGCTACTCACAGATAGAGAAGGAAGGAATTGCCTTAGTTTTCGCGGTCAGACGCTTCCACAAGATGTTGTATGGAAGGAAATTCACTTTGTTCACCGACCACAAGCCCCTCCTTTCAATTTTTGGGTCGAAACGCGGTGTTCCAGCTCATTCCGCCAACAGACTTCAACGGTGGGCGGTAACATTATTGGGCTATGATTTCGATATTAAATATCGCCGAACAGAAGACTTTGGACATGCAGACGCACTTTCAAGGCTTATAAGTGAGTATCCTACACCTAACGAAGATGCAGTGATCGCCTTAGTATCTACAAAGGATTACGCAGTTAACCTACTGAACTGTGCCGTCCGCGCACTTCCTGTCACGTCAGCTCAAGTGGAAAATGAATCCTGCAAGGATCATATCATACAGAAAGTCATGCATTATGTCCAGACGAAATGGCCGCAAAAATCGTTTGCCGGTGACCTGAAACAACTGTTCTGCAGAAGAGAATCCCTTTGTGTCGTAGGCAACTGCCTCATGTTCGGAGGACGTGTAGTGATCCTCCAGTCTCTTCGTGCAAAACTCCTAAAACAGTTTCACACTGGTCATCCAGGAATAGAACGTATGAAAGCCATCGCCAGAAGCTATGCTTATTGGCCGAATATGGACTCGGATATAGCTAGATTTGTCAGTCGCTGCGCATCATGTCAGAAGGCGGCTAAGAATCCTCCACGTCTTCCGCCAAAGAGTTGGCCATTGCCAGATCGACCTTGGTCTAGAATTCATATCGATTTCACAGGTCCATTACATGGAACCTACTACCTGATCGTTGTTGATGCTTATTCCAAGTGGCCGGAGATTGTCGCAGTATCACCCGTATCATCACGCCGAACAATCGCGGCTCTTAAAAATATTTTCATCTGCCATGGGTTGCCTGAGACCATTGTTTCCGATAATGGGTCGCACTTCACCTCCCATGAGTTCGCAGAGTTTTGCAGTGTGAATGCAATCCATTACATTCGTACACCAGCGTACCATCCGCAATCCAATAGCCAGGCAGAAAGATTTGTGGATACGTTTAAGCGAGCTCTCCTTAAAGCCGAAGGAGGAGGAGACACGGATGTTATACAACAATTTCTATTCATCTATCGCTCAACGCCAAATGACGCCCTACCAGACCACAAATCTCCTGCAGAAGTTTTAATGGGAAGGAAGCTACGTACGCCACACCACGCAATGCTACCACCACGTCGTGCACAGACAACGCAAACGGTGGGATCACATTTTAACAAAGGAGACTCCGTCTAAGTACGAGACTACAGACCAGGACACGCCATGTGGACGGAAGGTGTTGTCATGGGAAGACGTGGGAGTGTGATGTACGATATAATGGTGGATCAGGAGAAATGGGAGAGACACAAGAATCAGATGCGTCACAGAAACGCCAATCAACCAGAGAATCGAACCATACCACTCGATATTCTGCTGGATACGTTTAATTTGGCGACAACGATGAAAAAGCTCGAGCCCAAACTCAGCAATGAGCCCCTCCCCAGAAGATGTACGGATCGGAAGCGGTCGTAAACAGTGCGGTTCCAGCTGGATCCCAAAAAGCGAAGGTATCAAAGTTTTCTTTTTTTTCAAAAAGGGGGAGGTGCTGTGATGCCTCAGTTTTGTATGAAACATTGTTATTGATCTGAACATTCCCACATTGTTTTGGTGGTATGACTAGTAGTCTATTTTCTGCCTCCATTGTAATGTAATTCGCTGATTGGTTAACTTTTACTCTTACTATGCGGACAAGGTCAGCTTTCATGTGTATACTTATTCACGTGTTTTGGATTGATTCATTGTTATAATATTATATTCTCAGAGTAATACACTCTCCCATCTGCCAGCTTCTGTCTTCTCTCTATTCGTCCCGGGGTTGCAGCCAGTGTCTCTTGCGTACCAAGTTAGCTGTCAGTTAAGCGCGCGTATTATATTCGTTTCGGAATATATACATATGCCATTAGCGCGTCGAACTCATAACAGTGGCGACGGGGATGGAATCAAAAATGGACTATTCTATGATGGACAAAATTCTCGAACTACAAGTGAAGATTATCGAATTATTAACTCAGTCCAGAATTCCTGCAGCTGACTCATCGAATCTTACGCAAGAATCAACTCTAACGTTGAATGATATCGCTGCCTCATGTCAACGATCTGTGAACCTACAATGGGATACAAGTTTAGTCCAATCCTGGCGCCAGGGTGATCATGATGTGCATGTAGTTCGCCAGAAATCCAATTCCTCTGCATCCTTTTCTTGCCCAAAGACCCCTAATTCTTCGTCTCCTGTTCGTCATCCCAGCAGCTCATACAATCCATTGTATGAGCAATGTTGAGGTCAGGTGAAAGATACTAGGTAAGAAAGGTAAGTCAAGTTATAACCCTTCATCGGATTAAGTGGCTTGGACATGTCTTATATATAGCAAGCCACCGCTTACCTCAACATGCCATGTTACGGAAATTTCAATTATGCTGGGAGAGTGCTCCAGGTGGCAGACCATAATGTATCACCTGCCCATGAAGGGAGGAAGCTGTGAACTTCCTGACTATGGTCTGCTAGACGATAGGAATAAATGGTGGAGGATTCGTGGTAACATAGCTGAAAATCTATCTCAATGGTCCTCATGTATTTACTCCTGACGTCTTCTAAAGCTTGAATAGTTTCACTAACTTTGGTTTTCAAATTCTTTTTCTTCCCATATACGCTTGTGTATCCTGATATCAGTCTTTTTTCTGTTCACTTATTCCTTGTATATTACTGTGAAGAATGACAACTTGATACAGTACACTTCTTTGCAATGTTCCACTTTAATTTTATCTATCTGGTGATTCAATTGTTTTATTATCTACAATTAATTCTAGACTGAAAGGGAACTGGCTGAAGTGAATGCTGAATGTGATGTTATGAATGCGGACTTACAAAATTATAAAGAACAAATTAATCAACAAGTCAGTGAATAATTTTTTTCATTTGACCTTTTATTTTTGTTAAATGAATAATTTTTAATTCAGTGAAATACACTATTTTTTATAAAATCTTTACCAATCATTATAGTGGATTGATTTGATCAATGTAACCATTTTTGTAAGTATTTTCTCCAAATCATAACAACTTGTAAGTCTTCAGACTTATTCAATGTTCAATAGTTTATTCAAGGAACTGATCACATACACTTCAATAAATTACAAATGCATTTAGTCTCCAAAATACTCAATTGAAAATGGTGTTCGCATTTCTGCATGTAAATTAGTGTGATATTAAATGTTTGTATCAAAGTTATGGTAAACCAGAATTTACAATATTCCTCAAGCTTTTACATGATAACTTGACAAGTGTTCTTCTGCATGAATGATTCTGCGTTCTCAGAATTGTAGAATAAAGATGATATCCGTATGTAGTGTTGTGTGTGTGTGTGTATGTGTGTGTGTGAAGAGAGTATTTGAATGTGTTGTTAATTATCATCTCCTTGATGTATGTTGGTTATTTGGTTATTCATCATAGACTGACATCAATTGGAGGAACGAAGGAAACCTGGGAGCACTGGACAGCTGTTTCGTCCGACTAGTGTGGGACTCCTCAACAGTGCGCACCCACAACCCCGCCACGGATCGAACCCGCAACCTTCAGGTCCTGCGGACAGCGTGTTATCATTGAGCCACTGGGTTAGAATCCAATGGTCCGTATTTCCAACTTCTCTGCTAGGCGCGGAACCTGAAGGTAGTGGGTCCGATCCGTGGAGGGATCGTGGGTGCGCACTGTTGAGGAGTCCCACACTAGTCGGACGAAACAGCTGTTCAGTGCTCCCAGGTTTCCTTTGTTCCTCCAACTGATGTCAGTCTACGATGAACAACAAGTTGAAGTATGTTGGTTATGTCAGTATGTCGAGATGGGTTGAGACTAGGTTAAACTACGTTTTACTCCCTCATTCATTCCTGTTTAGACAATTTTTATTCCACTTGATGTGAAGAGATCCTGCTGTGCGACGTTCTTTACAATTTCTGAAACCTTTCTGAATAATTTTAATAGTATCAGAATCGAACTTGTGGCCTGAAATTATAGCGTATAGAACTATGGTTGATGTTTCCAAGTTTTTTTCATTTCCACTGGATTTCTAGGGAGTCAGATGGAAGTTCTTCAGTGTTCATATTTTCTAATTTTCACGGTAAGTTTTTCCTATATATACTAGATCGTAGTCTGAGTATTTCATCACATAAACACAATTAGATTGTGAATCTAGAGGGATCTTGTCCTTCAAATGAACTGAGGTGGTCTGCAATATGTTTGATGTTCTGTAGAACACTCTGATGATATTGTATTTGTTGGGCACTCTCCTAGTTTCATCCAAGGTATAAATGTGATCTGTAAGGGATAACTATTGTTGACGGGTATGATTTAGGAATAGTTCTACGATCTAATTTAATGTTATTTTATATTTTGCAAATGAATTTTACCAGATAATTATTCATTTTGAGTATCTTGTTCACGTATTTTATTTTATTTTACATTCATTCGAAAATGAGAATACTAAAACAATGAATAGCATTTGCCCAATGCCAAGATCTTTTCAAACTATCAAATTCCAACTTGGTTTGGATATAGTTAAGGTAGTATTCATCATAGACTGACACCAGTTGGAGAACCACTGAAAACCTGTGAATACCGAACAGCCGTTAGGTTCTAGCTCAGCAAAATTATGCACTCCTCGCCTCTTCAAGGACAGAAAACAATGACTTCAAGTTTCCTAATGAATGCGTTAACTATTCAACCACTGGGTCAAAGTTCAGTGGTCCACAGTTTTCTAACTTTGTCAGTTTGCTGTCTAGCGTGACTATCATCAAGTGTATCAAGTTGATATCCACTTCACTTTCAAATGACTTACCCCAATAATTGTCACTTCTCATTAGAACATGTCAGTAACGAGGGTTATGCAGTAATGTAGATTGCGGTTTACGAAGAGAAGTCCAGTACTCACTGGTTTTCAATGGTTCCGTAACTAAATATCAATCCATGATGAATACTACCTTAAAAATAAAATACCAATTAACCTCAAATTACATCCACATATAACTGTTACTAAACTGGTATTGCATACACCTATTTCGATTCGATTATTGTAGCATCAACCGATGGGTAATACTAAGCAACTCAGCCTTGTGTAGAAATGTGTAGCCAACTCTTCTGTCAAAACAAGAGACATAAGCGAGTAATACTGTTTCCAGTTCGATCCTCCTTAGGCTCTACTCCACTATAAATAGTTAAATATATACAAAAATTCAACTGGTTATGTAGATTTGTCGGTCAATGATAACTACTGTAAAATATACGGATAGTAATAAAGATGGAGATAGTATTTACTCAAACAGTCGTAATGCAACATGATAGTGTAGATACTCGAATAACTAAAGTGGATCAAAAGCTTAGAAAAATGAAAGTTGAGTAATACTGAAGGATGAAGTAAGCGGATAAACAAAGTCTGAACAGGTATGGTAAGTATATGACGGAAGTGAAGACTAAGGAAGGGATCGAAAATTTTCAGTGATAAAACTACTTATGAAGTAATGTCTGACTACGGGAGAGATAAATGATGTACAAACTTCCTCTGAATATAGAGATTAAGATTATAAGCTCGAATTCCTGTAGCTTCTGTTATATATAATAGACAAGTTCGGATACCCATCAGAAGATTAGGCAGTATGTGATGAATACTGTTGAAAGCATTGCTCTTATCTACCAAGTTATCACTAACAATCAAATGATATAAAACAGACCTTCCTATGGATTTTACTTATCATTTTCTCAATCTTGAATGTAGATACTCAACAACACGTCTGTTACGTTGCCTAGTAATATATCCCATATAGTTTTCTCCACATAAGAAGCTAAACTTTCCTCAGAATTCATAGTTAATAACTGTAGGACAGATTAAATTAAAACTCTTAGAAATATTTATCAAGACAGTTTTTGTTTCAATAAAGCTTTCAGGTATTTCGTTAAATATCTATCATTAAATTATGACAGATGTGAAGTTTACACAAAGTGTACAACTGCTGTAAGTAAACAGGATATTGACCTTACTCAGATGTAATGACATCTAGTAGATGTTCTACGGTATTATTCATACTAGACACTAATATGTAACAACCAGTTGTTGATAAGTTTTCGTCTAGCCTGTAGATAGGTACGTTGTTGCAGGGGGGCACGCAGAGTAGTGTGAGTTTGGTGGTGGCCACGAGAATCTGGAGAAGAAAAGAAAGGTGAGCCTATGACTCAGCAAGTACACAGATGTACTTACATTTAATAATAAAAGATAACTGACAAACGGTGGAGCTAAACAACGAAGAGGTGAGGCGAAATTCTAAGGTGAATGAGTAAGATTTCAAATGCGCTACATTACTTCCCCTTCTTCGGACGCACTTTCTTCAGTACCTAATTGTACCTGAGTGGCTAGGTATGATGTGTAAAACTGGTGTGAGTTACATTCGAGTGGATGGCTGCTGTTGAGTGCACGTCGGTCTGACCGTGAGCAAGCCGGATCCCACCTCCGACATTATTTTGTAATGACCCTTAAGTGTTGCAAACACTCGGACTCATAGCAGACACAGGCAGGCCGAAGAAGAATAAGAATTACACCGTATCATCTTTCTTAGGGACACAGCTTAAACTCAGCGGGTCTACACAACACTCGATCCAGACAAAGTTTTTATACGTCTTCGTAAATGTTAAGTTTACGTATTTCCTGTTTCTCTTCTCCTTATTCGTTCGCTGTGTTGTATCCTGAAAGAGAAAGATAGCGAACATGATCAGTGTTATCAATAAGGTTCGAATACGTTACAAATTGAATCATCGATTCAAAAGTTATTTTCCCGCCATAATGAAAGACTTTTATTGAAGCTAAAAATGAACTTGAAATCAAAATATTAATTAAACAGTAAATGTGTTTGGATTCTTCTACTACTGGTTTTTTACTTACTTTATAGCTAAGGTTGTAAATAGTTTTTAAAGGAGAAACTTAGTGACTCAGAGTGTAGATGGGTGAGAATACAACTTTTTTTATTTTAAAATGATAGAAAAGACTTGTAACTCAAAATGGCGATCAATACAGTTTTTGTATAAAAGTGAGAACTTTGTTACAATTTACTTGATGACTAATAATGGAATCTGAGACCCGCGTTTCGCCCGCCTTGGGATTGGTTAGCTGGATGTATCTGCGAGTGGTGGTGTCCGTATTAGACTTGGAACCCAGAGACCACCGCTCCAAACACCAGAACGTTATCCATCAAGCCACTGAAGCATGCATGGATAATTTCCCATTTCAAAATTCTATCGAATTACTCGACGTCTTTCGGTTTAAAAGTATTGATAATTAGATGAAAAGACTTGCTTGCATAAGTTACTTGTGTGGTATCTGTAGATGCTGGAGTCTACTGATTGGATTGCTGATACATACATCTGAAACCAAACAAAAGATTAATTGACATCCTTTATATACTTTCACATACCTTCTTCAGCGTTGTTGCCTATCGGACAAATGACCATGCTTCTGATGTTGAAACCGAATTTAAAGAGTATAACTTCAATGATAGCTCTAATTGTCTTCTAAAACACCGAAATTCAATTCAGTAAGACTTGCATAAGTCGATAACTAAGACATATCGCGAAACACATTCTCATCAGTAGCCATTACAACAAAAACTAATTCAGTATTAGCTGCAACACTCGCATACCATTTTATATAAAACTTAAGGTCATAACAGCCAGTTACATGAATAGCTACCATGAAAGTTTCATTCAGTAACTGATACTTTTGAAGAAAGAGGGAATTTCTATAAAGATTTTTATAACCCAGCAGTTACCCAATGATTGGACCGAATTGATCGGTCTCTATTGGCATATGGGCTCCTGTGTGGATGCCTCGGTATTGCCAGCAATCTGATTATGTTAATGATGGATCGTGGCTAGCAGTGGAATCCAGGATGCTCATTTCTTCCTATTTGGGACTCGTCAGCTGGACGTACCTGCTTCTCAGTGAGTAATGTTGTTCCCATCGGGATTCGGACTCGGGAGCGATCGCTCCAAACGCCAGAGCGTTATCCACTACACCACCGAGCCACGATACCCACTTCTTGGACATCCTGGATTCCACTGCTAGCCACGATCCATCATTAACATAATCAGATTGCTGGCAATATTGAGGCATCCGCACAGGAGCCCATATGCCAATAGAGACCGATCAATTCAGTCCAATCAACGATGGTATCATATAAAAACCCTGATATTAAAAACTATACCCGTCGCACAAGAAGTGGCTATCGTGGCTCAGTGGTGTAATGGAAAACGCTCTGGCGCTTGAAGCGATCTCAGCCGAGTCGGAATCCTGGTGGGAACAACATCACTCACTGGGGTGTAAGTACGTCCAGCTGACGAGTCCCAACTAGGACGAAATGAGCATCCTGGATTCCACTGCTATCTATGATCTATCATCACAAGTGAAACTGTGCCTAATTTAAATGAATATCAACCAAATAGTGAAACTTTCGGGAATAAAATTTCTTGATACGATTAAGGTAGGATATTTTCATATCACTAGTTAATTCGTTAGCTGAACCAGCATACTACAGTCCCTTGTGGTCATATATGAGATATTATTTGTGACCATTATTTTTTAGGTATCTCACTATAAGTTATGCTTTAAATTTAATATAAAATATATTTCAAGTTGGTATTCATCGTAGACACATCAGTTTGAGGAACAAAAGAAACCTCGGAGCACTGGACAGCTGTTTCGCCCTAGTATGGGACCCCTTAACAGTGCGCACCCACGACCCCGCCACGGATCGAACCCGCCACCTTCAGGTTCTGCGGACAGCGTGTTATCATTGAGCCACTGGGTCAGAATCTGATGGTCCATATTTCCAACTTCTACCACCTAATTTCATCGTTGAGTAACTCTCCTTACAACCATCAGGCTAACCCCACTGGTCACGACTTCTCATCGAAACTTCGTGAATCACCTCTCGAAGCTAGTCACCGATGATGTCAGTCTACGATGAATACCAACTTGAAATATTTCTAAATCTCTACAACCTCCTCGAAATTCAAATAAAATATATCACTTTTTAATTTTTATCAAAAAGGAAGAAACTATCAAGAGAAAAGATCAAGAATTCTCTCGTGTTCGTAGAGAATTAGAAGGAATTCGTAGTGCAAATGAAGAGAATTTGGAAAACTTAAGACGCCGCCATCAAACCACAACTAATGAACTTAATGTTGAAATAAGTGTACTTCAAAAGGCAAAATACAAGTGAGTAGTTTCTTCAGAATGTATTATTCATGATAATTGAGTCTAGAATAATCGAATGTTTCTTGAAATGTAATTTTCTTTGAATTTCTCACTCTGTTAATTTCTGATCTATATATATCGACTTAAAACCGTGACTTTTCAGCTGAGACCTTCTGTAGTATCTACAGTGTGCAAAGTGGAGTTCATATTTTATGAAAATACTTAAATAAACATTATATCTGGATGAATCTTTCTCATAATAGATTTAGCACTTTGGTTGGTTGTGGCTTGCAGAAGAATCTAGGATGCGCGTTTCGTCTTATTTGTGACTTGTCGGCTGGATGTACCTGCACCCCAGTGTTGTTGTTCTCACTGAGACCTGAACCTCGTACCCATAGCTTCAAGCGCCAAGATATTATCCACTATTCCACGGAGGAACAGTAGCCACTTCTTGACGAATCTTAAGTAGGACGAAACGCTCGTCCTGGATTCCTCTGCTAGCCATAACCAATCAGATTATCATAATTAACGTTCAGGCAATATCAAGGCATCTGCATACGAGCTCATGTGCCAATAGAGGTCGAACAATTTGATCCAGAAAAACAACGGAGAATAATGAGTGTGTCAATAAATAGATTTAGCACTTCCTGGTATTTTAGTAAAAGGTAGCCGATTAAGTCCTGTAACCTCCTCGCATTTGTGCGGTGAACGACAAGTCACACTTGTTGTGTGAAGGTGGATAATACTATCTAGCTGCACAGATTTAGGTAGGTGCAGCGAGGTTTGAACCTGTAACTCGTCGGTCCAAAGTTAAGTGCTAAGACCAATGGGCCACAGTTCCCCACCCATAGAAGCATAACTGTCAAGAGTGATACAAGCTGAAAAGCATCGCAGCAAACAATCAGTTTCTCTTAAAATGTACGTGGAATTTCAACGTATTAGTTGAAGATTATCATTTGACTATCTGAGTTAGTCATAGTTTGGGACACTAGTATTTATACTGGATGATGATTGAAGATGAAATGAGAATTTGAACCGCGGCCGGATTCGAACAGTGACCACTGGGTTTCATGCCCGATGCTCTGCCATCTGAACTATGAGGTCCGACTGCGGATCAGATTTTTATTTCACTTCAGTCACCAGGTGTTTTGAATTTGTAACGCGTTACTACCACTTGATTATATTCACACCGACTGCTTAGTCAAGACTTCCCATCCCAATCCAAATATAACTAGATTAGAGAGGGGGAGCATCATATTGACTGAAATGATTGAAGTAAAATCAAAAATCTGGTCAGCAGTCAGACCTCGTAACTCACTTAATAGAGCATCGGGCTAGAAACCCAGTGGTCGCTGGTTGGAATCTGGCTGCTATCCAACTTTTCATTCCACCTTCAATCATCAATATTAATATTAGTTGAAGATTTTTACTGCAATATATCTTCTCTACGCCGCAGGCGTATATTTTGGTGATTGGATAGTTGTCGTTCAATGTGATGTCCTTCAGGAGTGTTTGTTATCGAAGTTTAGTACAACATTCTTATAGATAGTTATGAGAGTAACCTTTTCCAAGTTAACCGTTTTATAAAAAAATATATGGTCAATCTAAAGTACACACAGAATACATGACTCAAAAGACTTACAGTTTTCGATATACCTTGTGTATCTGACAGACATGAAATGATATTTAATGATTGACTAGTACATGATAAAAAAGAACCAGTCAAAAGCAGTAAGATTTGGTGCAAAGCGAGTTAAACATTGTGATTGTGACCTTGAAGTTGAGATGTACGTTAGACGAGGCCATCTTTGAACCTACGATAATAGCAGAAGTAATCGTCATTGTTAAAATAGGTGAAGACGATTTGATCAAGATGTATCAGTGGTTCAATTATTCACTGATTTTTGTTGTATTTCGGGTTGGGAATTGTGAACTATGTGGCTGATGTTTTGCAAAATGCTAAGAATCAATAAGGCTGTCGGCTACAGTTCATAATCGGTTGTGATAATCCAAATGTCTATGAGAAATATTTGAGCATTAAAGTGAGTCTTTTTTTTATTATTACTCTTTTGCCTCTTACTACTTCTTGTCCATTATCCTATTTTTCTACTTTATCACAGTAATATCACTACAAGAAAAAGGCTTGTAAAACGTTCACTGAGATTCAAGTGTAGACGATTATTGTATCTAGCCCCCATATGCTTGAAAATAGTCGGATATCATTTTACAATTTTATACCATTTGAAGAAAGCAGATTTTCAGTAGCTTACTAACAATTTTTGAAGATAACTCCACTAATAAAAACACTTTCTATGTGAGCTGTTTTGTTTCAAGAGAAAATAGGAATATCTATTGGGATTGTAGCTGTCATAACTTAGAATTCCTCATAATAGAGAATATCTAAAATAACCAGTTAATAGTCTGTACAGTCGTAATTCACAATACGATAATCAATATTATTATTATTATTATTATCTGGCCCTTAGGTTGCTAGTGAGACATAAGACTTCAGTAGCTCGTCGACATTTCACTCTCTTCTCTTCAGTCTTTTGAACCTGGCTCCACAAATGCCCACAAGCTTTCATTTCTTCCTCACATCATCTCCTCCAAGTCACCCTCGGACGACCAACTCTTTGTTCATCATTTGGCTTCCACTCGATGACCTGGAGTGCCGCGTGATGTCACCAGTCGGCCTTATCAGTGTATGTCCAATCCATCTCCACTTTCTTATTCTGCATATTTGTTGGGCGATAGGTTCATGGTTGGTTCGTAGCCGGGTCAGAGTTCTTTATTGCTGCCTATGCTTTCAGGCCACCTGATCTGATTTTCAGTATCGGGTGAGCGTAGGCGTCAGCTGTTGATGTATGTCTGCAGTTTGTTGGAAATGCTTTACGTAACGCACCAAGTCTCTCAACCGTCACATGGAGCACTGACTTGACTGACTGTAATTAGTGTTGAAAATCCAGATATTGTCCACGCTTTATGCTGAGTGCAGTAGATCTCCATACTGATCAATTCAGATTAGTGAAGGCTTGTTTTGCCGTCTTTCGATGTTGGCTTTGACATCCTCATCTGTGCCACCGCCTGTAGTTGAGACAATGCTGACTAGGAAGGCAGATAGGTGGGTGGATGAGACGACTTCGTTTAGATTTCTCTCGTTGGTGGTGATTGTTGCTTGTTGTTGATGCTGTTGTTAATTGGGTATCTTCATCACCTCTGTCTTCTCTAGATTCACCAGAGGGAAGTCCCATCTTCACTGCCTCGCCTCGTCTCGTCTCGCCTCTCCTCGCCTCACCTCACCTCTTCTGTCAACATGTTGGTTTTCACCTATATATCTTCGAGTTTGTGTGACAAGACGCTAGACATAAATCACCATGGACGAAATCCAAATTGTCTAGGCTGTTTTCATTTGTCCATCCAGTGTATGCCCATGTTCTGACAGCTCCTGACAGTTTGTTGCATGATCCAGTCCAGTCAACCACAATCATGAAGATGATTGGTGATAGTGGGTGGCAACCTTGTCTTACTCCTGTCTTCACTTTGAAAGTGTCACTGAGTTGCTTTCCATTGTGGATCACTTGGTATATGGCGTCTTCATATAGGTGTTGAATGATGTTGATAAGGGTTTGTTGAACTAAGGGCGTAGTGTTGAGATAGCTGTCTGTCAATAACTTCTCGGTTGACGCTGTCGAAGGCCTTTTCAAAGTTGCCCGACCGATAGCTGCCACCTTGACGTGGTGGTCGGGCTTGCATATCACAATGACCCAACGAGCTATGCTGGTGGAACGCTTGTTCCCTCGAGGTCCTACCATACCAGAAAGGTCTGTTGGGTAGTGGTTAGACGAAAAGCAGTTACCGTTATAGTGTAAATTGCTACACTATGATGGGGGTCTGAGGGCGAAGTCGTACTGCTGCTAGCTGGATGGGGTGTGACAGCAGTAAGGTGTTTCCCTTGGATGACCAGCAGTGCCAAGCTGATGCTGCCTTCTCAGTGGAAGGGGGGGTTAGAAAAGGTCGGCCCCAAAAATAACACACTCCACCACGCCCCACGGTCTGCCGGGCCGGCGGTGTTGGTTCACTTGTCGTTTCCTTTCTACATCCGGCCCCAAAAATACAAAATTCAAAATAATCATACTCAAAAGGCTGGGTGTGACAGGCCTCAAGCAGATGTCCGATGGGCTCTGCGGTCACACAAATCTCTTTCAGGTACCTTAAGAAGAAATAGCCTTCCACGGTGTGGGCAGCCGGGAAGTGTCAACCGCCCTCACAACTCTGTCAGCACCCAAGTTTCTTCTGACTGCTATCCTCCTCCTCCATCATTACCTTCTAATCTTCCTTCACGTCTCTTAATTAATGATGCTGCATCATCTTCAATTTCTCCTACCTCTGCAGCCTTCGACAACGATCTGAGTCCACAGAACAGCATCCCTGGTCTCCTTAAACCACGCTCCAAATTACATATTGGAGCCTTCAATGTCCGCACCCTCCGTCAAATTGGCCAACAGGCTTCGTTGGCAAAGACTCTAGCAACTCGGGCATGGATGTGTGCTGTGTTTGTGAGACACGCATACAGGACCCAAGTGTGGTTATTCACCTGACCTCTCCTGACCAATCTGGTGAATCTGCAAAATTCACCCTTCGAGTTTCTGGAGATTCGATAGCTAGCTCTCGTGGTCTTGCAGGTGTAGGTATAGCATTAAGCACCAGGGCAGAAAACTCACTACTAGACTGGATCCCAGTTGATAGTCGCCTCTGCGCTATGAGGCTGAACGGCACAGTGAGAACTAAAAGGAATAGTGAGACTCGCCGTTGTCTCTTTGTAATCTCTGCTTACGCACCCACTGACTGTAGTTCGGATGAAGTGAAGGACGAGTTCTACCATAAACTGTCTAACCTCCTCTCGAAAGCCAAACGTTCGGACGTAGTGGTTGTTGCAGGTGACCTCAACGCACAGGTGGGTAGACTGAGTGAGGCAGAAAGGCACTTAGGTGGCACTTTCGGAATCCCAGCTGAACGTACAGATAACGGTGATCGCCTATTACAACTATGCTCAGATAACCGCCTATTTTTAGCCAGCACAAATTTCAGACATAAAGAAAGGCACTGTCTGACCTGGCGTCCACCGAGCTCGACTCAGCGATGGACACAGATAGACCACATTGCTATTAGTCATCGCTGGAGAGGATCGGTGGAAGACTGCCGCTCCTTCTGGAGTACGTGTTTGGACAGCGATCATGCGTTGGTCCGAGCACGTATATGCCTGCGTCTCAATGGACGTAGAAAAAATTTGGCAACAAAACCACTACGAGTTCTGCTGGACAACGAAAACACCAAAGCCGTGTTCAGTGAGAAGTTGGCTAGGCAGTTATCGGAACAAAAGACTGTCACTCATCCAGAAGAAGCTTGGTGCCATCTTCAGTCTACTGTAAAAGCAGCACTGGAGACTGTAGCCGACTCCAAGATAATGGCTAAAAAGAGCCAGTGGATATCAGCAGCTTCTTCCAAACTAATGGATGCACGTGAATGCATCCCTGCAGGCTCTGAGTACAATGAAGAGCGAGCGCAACTTAAAAATAACTGACGAAAAGTCTGCGCAACGATCGTGAACAGTGGTGGGCAGCAAAGGCTAAAGAGATGGAAAAGGCAGCGGCGATCGGTAACAGTAGACAGTTATTTAGACTTATTAAGGAGACTGGGGGGAAATGGTCAACAACAGTTAGTGAGGTTATAGCGGAGAAGGACGGATCGGCGATTCACTCGCAGGGAAGGCGACTGGGACGATGGGCAGAACACTTTGAGGAACAGTTTAACTGGCCTCCAGCCACCATTGCGCAGTCGGACCCTGAATGGGACATAGAGACAGGTCCCCCAACACTAGAAGAAGTTGAGAAAGCGGTAGGTAGCCTGAAACGGGAAGGGCAGCAGGACCAGACGGACTACCTGCTGAGGTATACAAGAATGGTGGTAGAGTTCTCTTAGTCAGGCTAACGGAAGTGTTAGCCAGTATATGGGAATCAAATACGATCCCCTCCGACTGGTCTAAGTCACATCATCCCAGTCTTCAAGAAAGGCGAGAAGTCCTCTTGTGATAACCACAGAGGAATCAGCCTGACAAACATAGTGTCTAAGATCCTAAGTTCTATAATTCTCCGACGCCTGAGTGGAGCTCGGGAACAGCAAGCCCGAGAAAACCAGGCAGGCTTTAGACCTGGCCGTGGATGTATCGACCAAATATTCACACTGCGCCAGGTCCTGGAACATAGGCATGCTTACAGACGCCCGACAATAGCTGTATTTCTCGACCTGAAGGCGGCATTTGACTCCGTTGATCGAGAAGTCTTATGGCAGTGTCTGTCACTGAAAGGCGTGCCTAGTAAGTACATCACCTTATTGAAAGCTCTCTACTCGAACACTTGTGGGCATGTTAGAGCCTATGGTGAGTTGTCCAGGGAGCTATACTCATCAAGTGGTGTCCGTCAAGGATGCCCACTATCCCCATTCTTATTTAATTTTATCATAGATATTCTTATGGAGGTTTCCCTCTCGTCACCTAATTACAAGACGTTGACCCGATCACAGGTGAATTTTCCTTAGATCTAGAATATGCAGATGACATAGTCCTGTTAGGTGAAGACGCTGACAAGATGCAGAGTCTTCTGAACACTTTGAGTGGGAATTTGAGAATGTTTGGGATGCGATTTTCACCACCCAAATGCAAATTTTTGCTCCAGGACTGGTCTTCAGCGGTACCGCGGTTAACAATAGAGAGTGAAGTGGTTGAGTGTGTTGACCACTTCACTTACCTGGGAAGTAGGATCAACCCGGTGGGTTAGTTGCCGATGAGATTTCTGCACGGATACAAAAGGCTCGATTGGCTTTTGCCAATTTGCGCCACCTATGGCGCCGCCGTGATATTCGTTTGTCTATTAAGGGTCGCGTGTACTGCACAGCAGTCCGCTCTGTTCTACTGTATGGCTGTGAAACATGGCCATTGAAAGTGGAAGACATGAGAAGGTTTCAGGTGTTTGACCACCGTTGCCTTCGTAGTATAGGACGTATTCCGTGGTGTCACCATGTGAGTAATGCAGAAGTTAGGTGTAGAGTTTTAGGGAGAAGAGGTAAGTCAGTCGACGAGGTTGTGAACCTTCATCGACTGAGATGGTTGGGACACGTACTACGTATGCCTAGTCACCGATTGCCTCGTCACACAATGTTGGCTGAGGTGGGTTCAGGCTGGAAAAAGGCCCGAGGTGGCCAGACTAAAACATGGCACCAATGTATGAAGTCTCTGACTGTTGGTTTAAGCCATGTGAGGTGATGGAGACTAAGTGGTGGTGTGGGTGGGACAAGAGGAACCAGTGGTTGGAGACTGAGTGTAGGTGATATGGCTCAGAACCGAAGTCAGTGGCGCAGATGTATACACACATTATCCTCATCTTAACTACACTATACCGAATCTCACCATTCCTCTTTCCTTTCTTCTTGTAGTTTATATTTCTTTTGACTGCATTCACTTATCTTCATTCTTCACCTCACTACCTTTCTACTTGGTGAACTGACGGGAGGTGTGTCAACTCGGACCGTTACGCAGTAATGCCTGGTCCTATGTTGATAATGATTGATTGATTGATTTTCAAAGTTGATGAAGCTGAGTAAGAGAGTTGAAGCCTATTCTGTGCTCCGTTCTATGATGATGCGTAGCGTAGCCTTGCGATTTGTTCCACACACGATTTGTTTTTCCTGAATGCAGCATGCTTGTTACGGTGGTAATTTTGAATGGAGAGCTTCTTTTAGTCTTCTGAGGATGATGTGGCTTAATATTTTGCTTGGGGTGGACAGCAGCATGATAATCAATATAGAAGTCAAAAAGTGTATCAGTTATTTATGCTGTCGTTTTGGACATCAGTCAGTCAGAAAAAAAGAAAAAGTCAATGTGAGACCTTACTGAGAAGTCCATTAGTTCAAGTTACCACTCAATTCAGAGCAGCATGAAAGACATAAGTAGGTGGAAAGAGTGACTGAAAAGTAGACGACAAGGGTGTAAAGATGGAAAACGTAGTTTAAAATTGTGGTTAGTTAAAACATTCAAACAGTGATTACATCTGCACCATTGTGACCAATTTTTAACCACGTCACCAGCAGTCTTCAACCACTCATTCCCTATGGTTTCAGGGACCCCAACCAGGTAGTCTACATCTTCCTACTAAGCTCAGATCAACAGTTAAGGACTTCATGAACTGATACCATATCTTGGTGTAGCCATCTTAAGCTTTCCTCCAACTCTAGTACTACACTTCTGAGATAAGTTAAAAATTCATATATCACCCAAGAAAACAATATTTGGATCATGATACTGTGAGTACATATTGACTCCCATTTTGTTTGTTTAGGATGATCATATTGGAACTAGATTCTGCAATGCTTTGTAGAATATTTGTGAATGATTTAATGTCCATATATTATTGAAATATCATACATAATAATATGACCTATATGAAACATTTATTTACTTAAATATTGTTTCCGTTTTCTGTTATATTCGCAAAGTATTTTTAGCACTAAGTGGGGAATTTCGATATCTTCTGGAAGTTACGATTTGATTATATTTTTATTCCACTTTGTAATGTTAGTTAATGAATAGTTTTATAACTTCACTTTTTCTCCTTAGAATTGAAAAAGAAAAGTCTGAAATAGCTAGACAATTAGAAAATGCTTTTACTGAGGTCGAAGATGCTACTAAGGCCAAAGTAAGTAGTCAATAATTCTTCTTGTGCAAGTATTACAAAGATTGGTAGTATTATCATTATTATTATTTATCCCTCGGGTTCCTAATAGAACATAGGGATTCAGTAACATGTCACCATTCCACTCTCTTCTCTGCAATCTTTTCAACCTGTCGCCACGACTGCCCACAAGCTCTCATTTCTTCCTCACAAGATCTCTATGTCATCCTCGCCTCGGACACCCAACTCGTTGCTTACCATCTAGGTTCCACTCGAGCAACTGGCCTGGCACGTGCTGTCCCCAGTCGGCCTTCTCAGTGTATGCCCAGTCCATCTCCACTTCCTTCCAGTGCATATTTGTTTAGTGATAGGTTCTTGCTTCGTTGGTTCATTGACAGCCAGCCAGAGTTCCCTGTTGCTCATTCCTTCTGGCAATCCATCTGAGCTTCAGTAACGAGTCAGTGTAGGCAGTTGTTGATGATTATCTGTAGTTTGTTGGGAATCCCTTTCGTAACCCGCCAAGTCTCTGAGCCATAAAGAAGCACTGACTTGACTGAATTGGTGTTGAAAATCCGGATATTGTTCACGCTTTGTGCTGAGTGCAATGCAATGCAGTAGATCTCCACACTGGTTTCAGGTTAATGAACACCTGTCCTGCTGTCTTTCCGATCCTGGCTGCTTTGACATCCTCAACTGTCTGTGCCGCCTGTAGTTGAGACAGTGCTGCCTAGATAGGTGAGCGAGGCTACTTCCTTTAAGTTACTCCCATTGATGGTGATTGGTGTTTGTTGTTGTTATTGTTGGTTGGGTATCTTCATCACCTCTGTCTTCTCTACGTTCACCTGAAAGAAGTGCCGTCTTCCTTGGCTGCCCTGCCTCTTCTGTCAACTTGCTAGTTTTTGCCTGTAGATCTTCGAGTTTGTGTGACATCAGACACAGGTCACTGGCGAAGTCAAAATCTTCTAGGTTCTTTTTCGCGGTCCAGCGTATCCCCCTCATCTCGCTCCTCACAATCTGTTGCATGATCCAGTCCACTACAATCAAAATGAGATAATTCTACCTTTCTGTTATCTTAATAAATCGAATCTGAACACATTTAGTGCAAAATATGTATACATATTACTATTCCTCAAGAAGACCCAACAAGTAGTATCTTTGTAACAGCCTACCGAATTCAACTGACGATAATTTCACCAAATCTTATGGGGCCTAGCTAAAAATTACAGATCAAGTTAACTGAAATTCAGAAATAAGGAGATCTACTCCAATTAATTTCATCTCCTTCCACAGTTACAAGATAACATATTTACTGAAGTGTTTAGAAGTAACGCATCTAAAAGTATGCTTACTGGAAAACTTTGATTTTGGCTTATCTTCTTTAAAACAAATCACAGACTATGATTGTTTTTTAAGAGATAAGTATTGAATAATTTGATGAAGACTTCAGAGGTTTTGTCTTCTTCTCTACATACACCTCAAATCAAACAAAAATGAAGTGTGACTGCAAAACAGATTGTAATTCATGGTATGCTGAGTCGAAGTGTATAACACTAATATAAACTAACCTTATTTAGTGTTTAGAACGATAAAAACAGAAAATCACCTAATCTTACTTCGTCTTAGTAGTTTGAACTAAAGAAAAATAATTAATTGAGCAGAGTATTAAGCATTGGTCTATCTCTATAATTTTCCTACAGGCGACTAGCGTCTAGACGAGCTACCTTATGAGTTAGCATTGTTAAGGAGTCCCATGACAGGACGAAACAGCTGTCCAGTGATCTCAGGTTTTCAATGGTTCTCCAATTTACGTCAATCTTCGGTGAATAACAAGTTCAAGATTTATATTTATGGACAGTGTGTGGTTTTTTGGGTTCAGTGGAATCAAACACATTCATATATGGATTTTTATGCATTTACTTTGATAGTCCATATGCGTGATCATCCTGCAGAAGAACAAACTTAGGTTGTTCAGTTGGTAAATAAAACTTCGGAGACAGAGTCTTTTTGTCTCTGTCATATATATATATATAGGATAGTTATTTCCCTTTTTTTTCTTTTTCTCTACAGACTGCCGCTCAGACAAAACAAGAAACACTGGAATCACAAGTTTTAAGACTACGCGCAAATAACGAAGAGTCACAGAAACGCATTACTGAACTCAACTCACAGAATAGTCAACTCGTTGCAGAAATTACTGAACAAGCTCGAAATATTGAGAAGTTAAATACGAATCTAGCAAATTCTCAAAGAGCACAGGCAGTTGCTGAAATGGTGGCAGAAGATCACAGAAAAGCATTGGAAGAAGAAACAAAGGTATGATTGGTCTGCATACAATGTATCATTATTATTATTTTCCTCTTCGGTTTCTAGTGCAACATACGTCTTCAGTAGCACGTCACTATCTCACTTTTTTCTCTCCAGTCTTTCCAACCTGACTACATGGCTGCCCATAACCTTTCATTTCTTCTTCACATGACCTCCTCCATGTCACCCTCGGACGACCAACTCACTGTTTCTCATCCGGGTTCCACTACAGGGCCTGATGCATGATGTCCCAAAATGGTTTTCTCAGTGTATGCTCAATCCATCTCCACTTTCTTATTCTGCATATTTGTTGGGCGATAGGTTCATGGTCGGTTCGTCCCCAGCCAGAGTGAGTTCCTTGTTGCCTATTCTTGCTGGCCATCTGATTTTCAGTATCGGGTGAGCGTAGGCAGCAGCTGTTGATGAATATCTGTAGTTTGTTGTAAATGCTCTCCGTGACGCTCCAGGTTTCTGAACCATATAGAAGCGCGGACTTGACTGATATTAGTGTTGAAGATCTATGTTCTCTCCACGCTTTGTGCTAAGTTGAGTGCAGTAGATCTCCACACTGATCAACTCAGATTAGTGCAGGAAAGCCTGTCTTGCTTTTCCAATCCTGGTTTTGACGTCTTTATATGTTCCACCTGTGGTTGAAACGATACTGCCTAGATAGAGGAAGGAGACTACTTCCTTTATGTTTCTGCCGTTGATGGTGATTGGTGCTTGTTATTGATGCTGTTGTTAATTGGGTATCTTCATCACCTCTGTCTTCTCCAAATTCACCAGATGGAAGTCCCGTCTTCACTGCCTCGCCTCGTCTCGTCTCGCCTCTCCTCGCCTCACCTCACCTCTTCTGTCAACATGTTGGTTTTCACCTATATATCTTCGAGTTTGTGTGACAAGACGCTAGACATAAATCACCATGGACGAAATCCAAATTGTCTAGGCTGTTTTCATCTGTCCAACCAGTGTATGCCCATGTTCTCACAGCTCCTGACAGTTTGTTGCATGATCCAGTCCAGTCAACCACAATCATGAAGATGATTGGTGATAGTGGGTGGCAACCTTGTCTTACTCCTGTCTTCACTTTGAAAGTGTCACTGAGTTGCTTTCCATTGTGGATCACTTGGTATATGGCGTCTTCATATAGGTGTTGAATGAGGTTGATAGGGGTTTGTTGAACTAAGGGCGTAGTGTTGAGGTAGCTGTCTGTCAAATAACTTCTCGGTTGACGCTGTCGAAGGCCTTTTCGAAGTTGATGAAGTTGAGATAGAGAATTGACTGTCATTCTATATTTTGTTCTATGATGATGCATAACGTCGTGTTGCGATTTGATCGGCACGTGATTTGTTCTTCCTGAATGCAGCAAGCTTGTTTTAGTGGTAATTTTGAATGGAGAGCTTCTTTTAGTCTTTTCAGTATGATGTGGCTTAATATTTTGCTTGTTGTGGACAGGGACAGGAGCATGATTCCTCGCCAGTTCTTGTAAAGAGTTAAGTCTCCCTTCTTTGGGAGTTTAACAAGGTACCCTTTCTTCCAATCAGTTGGCAGGTACGTTTCCTTCCTTCCAAACCTTCTGCAACAGTAGTGTTAGCGTGTCCGCTACTGTTTCTGCGTCTATTTTCAGTAAATCAAGTGGCATTCTATGTTGTCCCGGATTTCAGAAGCTTTATGGCGTTCAGGACTTCTGCTTTTATCGCAAGGCTTGTGTTCACTGATAATTCTGTGGCTGGGCTGCTGGAGCTATTTCTGGGCGAGTTGCAGGTGGTGGTGTAGGTTGATTAAAGAGTTTTTGAAGTGGTCGGGCCACTGTTTCCTTTGTTTCTCCTCTTTGGTAACTAGCTTTCCTTCACTATCTCTCATTGGTTTCATTTGCTTTGATCTCTTTCCAGTAACCTGGTCATTTGATAAAGTGTTGTCAGGTCTGTCTTACCAGCAGCTTATTCTGCTTCATTTGCAAGGGTGTCATAGAAGTGTCTTTTGTCTTCGCGCGCATTCTCCTTCACTTCTTTGCCCAGTGTAGTGTTTTATAGGTTGCATTCAGTTCCTATTTTCGTTGTTCATCCTTGCACTGCACTGGTTCGTCTTCGGCTTCAGGATCTTCCTCTCCTCTATCAGCTTCCATGTGTCCGTTGAGATCCATTCCTTGTCTTCTTTCTTCCTAATACGGTTATGCAGGTTTCTTTCTTACAATGTAAACTGCAAAAAAGTATGAGTTATGCAATTCTATTTATGATTATTTGCATCCTATAACTAGAAAATTTATTTTATAGAAATATTATTTTATTTAAGGAATTTGGATGAAATCTTGAGAACAAATTCTTACTTATATGATGGGTGGGATGCAGTAGATAGGAGTTTTCGAATGGTCTCTATCGTACGCTAGAAGTGTAATTTGAAAGTTAAAATTATTTAGTACCTTCAATGGCAGTGCCTTAGAAGGAACACATGAGAATGATTTTTATAAGATAAGAGTTATAACTTATGTAGACTTTCTATTGAATAGTGGGATCTAGGAAATTAGTCCTTAATGTTGCTTTATGATAGCCTTGAAGTATTCAAACTCGAACAGTTACGCCTTTTATCACTGGTGTAAAATACAGAAAATCAATGTCAACATTTTATTTGATCATATCCTTGAAAGTTGAATAAACGTATATGTATTGTTAGAGTCACTGAGGTAGACAATAGTTCAGAAGTTTATGACAAACAGGTCACATTATGCCGTCTGAGTATTTAAATTCCTAATGGAAACTAAGGGGAAATTATACAGTTCATAGCCACCTAGTCCAAGTAATTCACAGTGGGAAGCTCAGTGATGCTTTTGAAGTGAAGACAGGAGTGAAACAAGGTCGCCTACTATCCCCCATGATATTCCTGATTGTGGTGGACTGGATCATGCAGCAAACAGTAGGCAGCGAGAAGAGGGGGATACGCTGGACGGCGGAAAAGAACCTAGAAGACTTGGATTTCGCCGATGACTTGTGCCTAATGTCACATAAACTTGAAGATCTGCAGGCAAAAACTAACAAGTTGATAGAAGAGGCAGCTAAGACGGGACTTCAGGTGAATATAGAGAAGACAGAGGTGATGAAGATACCGCACCAACACCATCAACAACAACAACAAACTCCAATCACCATCAACGGGAGAAACTTGAAGGAAGTAACCTCCTTCACTTATCTAGGAAGCACTGTTTCAACTACAGGCGGGACGGACGAAGACGTCAAAGTCAGAATCGGAAAAGCAAGACAGGCGTTCATTAGCCTGAAACCAGTGTGGAGATCTGCTTCACTGCACTCAGCATGCGGAACAAGATACGGATTTTCAACACCAACGTCAAGTCAGTGCTCCTGTATGGTTCAGAGACTTGGCGCGTCACGAAAGGCATTTCCAATAAACTACAGACATTCATCAACAACTGCTTACGCTCGTTACTGAAGATCAGATGGCCAGAAAGAATAAGCAACAAGGAGCTCTGGGAACCAACCAACCAAGAACCTATCACGCAACAAATATGCACTGGAAGGAAGTGGAGATGGATTGGGCATGCACTGAGAAGGCCGACTGAGGACATCACGCGTCAGGCCCTTGAATGGAATCCCCATGGGAAGCGACGAGTTGGACGTCCGAGGTGAGGGTGACATGGAGAAGGTCGTGCGAGGAAGAAATGAGAGCTTGAGGGCTGTCGTGGAACCAGGTTCCAAAGATCTCAGAGAACAGGATGAAATGGAGACGTGCTACTGAAGCCCTATGTTCCACTAGGAACCCAAGGGACTAATAATAATAGCCACCTAGTTGAATTACCTTATGTGAAATGGTGAATATTGTGACGATTCATTTACATGTAGAGCATATCCTTAAAATCTAAGCTAACTCGATTCAATGAGCTAAATTTATCCGGGTAGTGTATTTTGTCAAAATGGTTTAACTTCAAAGCTGAGAAATGAAGACACACCTGATTTCGAAGTTACTAGCTAATAACCATATCTGATTGAAGTATAGACCTTAATTTATTTTACTTGTAGACTAGAACATTAGTTCAAAGTAAGCTAACTGCTATACAACAAGAACTGGATATAATAACTCAAAGAGCTGATGAAGAAGCTGAAAATGCTGCGAAACTTCAGACTGTAGTCAATAGATTGACAAATGAATTATCACAAACTAGATCAAAATATGAAAAAGAATTGAATGAGAATACTGAACAGTTTGATGAACTCAAGTAAGTCAACAATAAATTATGATTTAGTAAATTACTGATCATAGTATTATGGGAACAAAAAGTATTTCACTGTAAAAACTATATTGAATACTTTTCCCTATCAAACTCGTACTGTTATAATCTACGAATAAGTTTATGTAACGACCAGTTTAAGAAATACATAGAAGTATGAGTAAAACAGTCTGTAGTAAGTAGAAGAAATTCAGTTAAACTGTTCATTGCTTTTTGAAGTAAACGACTATCGACTCTACCCTAGTTGGTTTGTTAAATACACAAAAAACTGAAAGAGGGAATTCACTTTGGAGGTTTACGAGGATTTATTGATTCCAAGTTAATATTCATCATGGACTGACATCATTTGGTGAACTACTGTTGACCTGGAAGAACTGACCAGCTGTTTCGTGCTGGTATACGACTTCTGAGCAGTGCACACAAACGAACGAAATACAGATCAAACCCTGGACCTGTAGGTTTTACGATTAACATTGAACCACTGATTAACAACTTAATGCTTCACATTTTTCTGCTTCTTTCAGTTCGCAATATTGTGCGATCTTCATCTAGTGTCATCCTAATGTTCAATTTGGTTTGCCTCACCGGTAACAACTTCTCATTATACCTTCGGGAAATCTTATCAATCACGAGACAAGTCACTAATGAGCAGCAGGTCGGAAATGAGAACAAATACTGAGTGATGGCACAGAATAAAGGCCGTGCTACACTAGGAAATGACTGTAGGGGGAAATGCACATTAACTAGTCACTGGAGTGTGACCAACTTTGTGTTGTCTAGGTCTAAGTGCTAATCGAATTCAATCGATTACTTTGCAGTGTCGCACTGAGAGAAATATTATTTGGATGCTGGCGATCGGCAGGAAGCCATCGAACTAGGTTTTTGTCCTTCTTAGCACTCATCCGTAGGGCATGCCTGAGACCTCAGAGAAACCGATATCCCGCTTAGGATTTGAATACGCATCACTCAGTGCTGGAGTCAGAGCCATTACCACTGAGCTATTAGGACCCCAAGTAACTAAATTATATACCTTAATTGGTTAATGCAGCGTAGCCAACTTCATAGTGTCTACTAGGAAAGTTTGGACCATCGGATTCCGACCCACTGGCTCAATAGTAACTTGAAGGCCATGGCTTTGTTATCTGGTGGGGTCTTAAGTAGGGAGTCGCATACTGCGAAAAACCAGCTGTCCAGTGTTGTCAGGTTTCTATTGGTTCTTCAACTGATATCATTCCGGGACTGATACTAACCAAAAAGGGTAGTATTTACTGGATAACACTTATGAACCCATTTTTAGAGTAATATAAAGATATTTCTCCAACAATGAAGCGTGTTTTATTTAGTTCAAATAAATTCTATTACTTCATTGTCGTGTTAATAGAATTTTTCAGATATTATGTACTGAGTCATTGATATTACAAATGTGTCGGTGTTGATTCACGAAACAAAACATTTAGTTATCTCTCTACACACATCCATTTCCTCCAAATTTTAAGATTGTTACAGTTCTGAGGGTTTAATAGCTAATCACAGATATCGACTGGTAAACTCTATGCATTATCTGATTGTAATTCGTATGATTTTTAATCAACAATCGAAATTATAATTAAAATATTATTATTTGTCCCTTGGGTTCACAGTGGAACTCATTTCCGCAGTCCTTTCAACCTGGCTCCACCACTGCCCACAAGATTTCATTTCTTCCTTATATCATATCCTACATGTCGCTCTTGGATGCCCAACTCGCCGTTTCTCCTTTGGACTCCACTACACTGCCCGGTCTGGCATGTGATGTCCCCGAACGGTCTTCTCAGTGCATGCCTAATCCATCTCCACTTCCATGTGCATATTTTTTGGGGGATAGCTTCTTGGTTGGTTGCCAGCCAGCCAGCCAGTTCCTTGTTGCTTATTCTTTCTGGCCATCTGATCTTCAGTAACGAGCCAGCGTAGATAGTTGTTGATGAATGTCTGTAGTTTGTTGGAAATCCCTTTAGTAACGTGCCAAGTTTCTGAACCATAAAGAAACACTGGCTTGACTGAATTGGTGTTGAAAATCCGGATATTGTTCACACTTTATGCTGAGTGCAGAGGATCTCCACACTGATTTCAAGTTAATGAACGCCTGTCCTGCTGTCTTTCCGATCCTGGCTGCTTTGACATCCTCAGCTGTCTAGATAGATAGGTGAGCGAGGCTACTTCCTTTAAGTTACTCCCATTGATGGTGATTGGTGTTTGTTGTTGTTATTGTTGGTTGGGTATCTTCATCATCTCTGTCTTTTCTACGTTCCCAACAGTTAAAATAACTTAACTTTATGGTAACAAGTAGGAGAATGATGTATCAAGAAATCATATTATTACTGTTATCTTAGGTATTATGAAATAACTGGTCTTTTTTCTAAAATCTTGTATAGTGAACTTAAATGATGAAATGATCTCATCATGGCTGATAAATAATAATTTATAAAACTCAAGATGATATGATTGATTTAAACATTTGGTAATGTACGATTCCGTCTCTTCAACAGTATTCGGATAACAATGTACAAAGAATATGAATAGCACCATGTATCTGAATAGAAAGCAAAATAATAATAGCATACAAATACTTCTGCAATTATCAGCAAAATGAATGGGATAACTGAAGACTTTTATCAAAAGTTTAAATACAAGTAATAATAACCAATCTGTTATCCTAAAATAGGCTCTTACCCTTAATCGGTTTTAAAGTTAACGTTCGTTCTAGAAGATGGTCACTTAAGTATCGGCAATAATAATAATAATAATCATTTCAAGGTATTATTTATGTCTGACTTACATCAGTTAAAGAACCACACTGTTTCGTCCTAGTATGAGATACCTTGAGATAGATATCACGAAGTTCTTATGAGAAACCGTCGCATTATGCGACAAATAAACATAAGTAAGAAACTGAGCCCCACTGAATGGTTAACACGTTCGCCGTCAGACATAGAAGTCCTAAATTCAAGCCTTGACGACGCCATGGAAGTATTACTGTTCAGTAGTCAGATACGAGGACAAAACAGCTGTCTATTGCCCCCAGGTTTTAGCTGGTTATCCAAATGATATCAGTCCATGTTGAGTGCTACATTGTAATAAATAAAATCCGCACATACCTTAGTTCAAATAACAATAATAGTTTCTATTCGACGTCTATTAGCATATGGGGTTCTTTGCAGATGTTTCGATATTGTCTGAATGTTAATTATGATAATTCGGTTGGTTGTGGCTAGCAGAGAATGCAGGATACGCGTCTTGTCCTGTATGCGACTCGTCGGCTGGGTGCATCTGCACCCCAGTGATGTTATTCCCACCGAGAGTCGGACCCCATACCCGTCGCTTGAAATGCAAAGGCGTTACGCATTATGCCACGGAGAAACGACGCCACATCTTGTACAACGGGCTATAGTTATTACTATTTGCTGATATACTCGTTATTCTCCATTGTTTTATTGGATTGAATTGTTCGACCTCGTGCGTCCTGGATTCTTACGCTAGCCACAACCAATCAAGTAATAATAATCACTTTCAATGCAGCAGATGCTTCATTTTCGGAAAATAATTCAATAGAGATATCTATTAAAAGTGAAAAAATATCACAACATTTTCTAAATATGATACATTCAAGCCTAATATACGACCATATTCTATTAAAAAACTGGAAATACTGTGCTACGTTACATCACTTAGTTGACATGTGAATAACTATTTTAAACCCCGAAAATGAAAAGAATTTTCATCGTTTATGTGTTCTTCGAGCTTCAGTTGAGTTTTCTAGCTCCAGAATTATCATCAACCTCGACTAAGGTTATCTCACTAACCAACTTTTCAAGAAGCGTAGAAAAAGAGTATCGAATGTGATTCTTCTTCTTGGAGAGAACCAATTTCAAGAAGTTATTTGATAAAAATTGTGATGCGGTCGATAGTATTGATCAAAAAATCACGGATAAGTATATCTGATTATTTTCTTTCTGTTATACTTTTGACCAAACCAACAAAACATCAACAACAAGTACCAATCACCATCAACGGGCGAAACTTGAAGGAAGCGTCTCTTCCACCTACCTAGGCAACATCGTTTCAACTACAGGCGGCGGCATAGATGAGGATATCAAAACCAGGATCGGAAAGGCCAAACTGGCTTTGTTTAATCTGAAATCAGTGTGGAGATCTATTGCACTCAACTCAGCACAAAGCGTGAACAAGATACGAATTTTTAACACCAATATCTAGTCAGTGCTTTTATATGGTTCAGAAACATGGAGCGTCACTCAAAGCATTTCCAACAAACTACAGACATTCATCAACGGCTGCTGCCTACGCTGGCTCGATACTGAAGATCAGATGGCCAGCGAGAATAGTCAACAAGGAACTCACTCTAGCTGGGAAAGAACCAACCATGAACCTACCACCCAACAAATATGCAGAATAAGAAAGTGGAGATGGATTGAGCATACACTGAGAAAACCATTCTGGGACATCACACATCAGGCCATTTGCTCGAGTGGAATCCAAAGGGGAAACAGTGAGTTGGTCGTCCGAGGGTGACATGAAGGAGATGATGTGAAGAAGAAATGAAAGCTTGTGGGCAGTGGTGGAGCCAGGTTGAGAAGACTGCAGAGAACGTAGCGTGCTACCGATGCCCTATGTTCTATTAGAAGCCCAAGGGAAAAAAATCCAAGTCCCTTTGTTTATATTAGGTCGATCGTGAAAGACGGTGATTCCTTGACAGATGAACACGATATGAGAGATAGGAAAAATGAGAAACACCCAAATGAACCAAAGTACAGTAAGCGTATCAAGAGGGGAGGAGTAATCAAGTTATGCAAATGAGGGTCAGAGAACATCTACACCTAAATGGCATCAAAAACAAGTCAAGTATGAAACTTTGATAAGCTGACGTGCAAACCTTCTCTTCATTTATAATTATTCAAACAATCAATGACGCATATTGAGATTTAAGGAAGCGATAACCATCTACAATTAGAGATCACTTTTTTTTGTACAAAACTAATTTGTGCTTACACCGCACCTAACTTGATTAACTTTCATTTTTTGCTTAGCAAGATTAGGATCAACGATATCACTCATCTTTTCTGTTCTCATCCTGTTTAATTTTAGTCTCCTGAAAACCAAATTGTTCTGTTTCTCTTCCATTCTACAGTTATACATAAATTGATTAACAAATATATTTCTAGTCATGAAATAATGGAGAATATTTATAGCTCAGATGGATGGTTTCGGGTGTATTGTTTTCTCTGGGCTGGGTTGTTTAACCGTGAATGTTTCATCGTCTTAACGGGGACGACATCATCAGCACTAACTTCAGTATGACTGTTTGAAATGTATTGCACAAATACATCAAAAATTGTTCAGATAGACTTTGTATTCTTATTACTTTATCTAAATACATCAAGATGAACTTGCGCTGAAGTAGTTTAAACATTGAAGGTGAAGCTCTGCATAGATGGATGGATGGATCTTACAATCTACATCTGAGAACTTCGTGATGTATTCATGTATATTATAAAACTCCTTGACATCCATGAATGTTTCTTTCTAGATTTTATCATTTTATTGGACAGAGATAAATTGTAAATTTTTAAACTAATCAGCAGAAACTGATGCGATTCCAGACCGTAGCTGAATGAATAAAATGGTAATGAAAAAGGAACCTTGATACAATAGATGAGATTTAAAACCTAGGAGATTAGGAAGATTGTTTCTCTCTTTATTACTCAAAGATGTCAAGCTTGCAGTATGAAAACGTGTGTCTAATTATAACCCAGAAGGGAAAAGAGTAGAGACTATCAGTATGTCTTGTTCCAAAAATGTCAATAAAATAGTTTCCCACCTTGATTTTGGCTTTTCTAGGTAATCAAGTCTCGCTAATAGCAACCGAAATAGGTGAATGTATCACCGAAAATAAGTAATATTTACCTGATTTGTGACTTTCTCAATGAAATTCATTCATTCTGACTAATTTAACCAATTTTAAATGTTTTTTTAATGATTAGACGGCGTTTAAACAATCGTATTAATGAGTTAACGGAGTCTTATGAACTAGAACGTGGTAGAGTAGTTAGTCTTGAACGGACAAAGAATCAACTAGCCAATCAGTGTCAAGAGATACAAACGCAATTGGATAACGTGAGTTTAACTGATATCGTTGACCTGTATATTTTGTGATTTGAAATATTTGGCTTCACTTATAAAATTTTGACAGGACACTGAGCAGCCATACTTTTATCTATAACGTGTAATGTACTTATGTAATACGTTTCGAATTATAATTTGATCATATTTGTATATCTCCCGTACATTTGCATGCACTTCAGTAAAAGATACTAACTTAAAAATAAAAATAAAAGAAGGCTGAATTTATTAGTTACAAGTCAAGCAAAAAGTGGTTAGGGAGAGGTAGAGAGTAATTAATCCCTTGTGAATTTCTTTCCAAGAAATTCGAAGCCAAAACAATCAAGCAATTCTTTAACAGATAAACCAAACGCTGAGTATTGCGTAAAATCCAAAACACAGGATTTATCTGAAGTATGGTACCGTTTTAGTGGACAAAAATGACTGATAAATTGGGAAACCTTGAATCGTGAACTGTCTTTGAGTTTATTGGCATCGAAAGCAATTCACAAGAAATACATTAACAATATAAACAGTAAACCTGTGTCCTAAGCGAACCAGAGAAAAATATGAGTAGCGCAGGCATCCCCAGGGCGAGATAAAAGGGTGTCATGTAAAAAAAGTTCGGGGGAGATATAGCATAACGAACACAAAATAATCATAAATTGATAAAGATACCTATGTTAAACGATTCTGAATAACGAATCAAAATGGACAATCAAATCTGCGGATAAATGAGCAAACAAAATTACACTACTAGGTATTAAAAAGTAGCATAAATCTATATGCATAAAAGAGTAAAAGTGCGAAATCGAGATGGCCGGAAACAAGAACGTAGTAAGAAAAGAACAAACACCCTGCATACTAAATTCCGATTAAGACATATCAGTAAGTTTCTTTTTGAATGCATAAAACTAGTTTAGACTTCTTTATGTCTACAGATTCTATAAAAAAGCCTAAAGGCTTTTAAAATTTATTATTTATTTATTATTTGTCTCTTGGATTCCTAGTGGAACATAGGAATTCAGTAGCATGTCACCATCTCACTCTCTTCTCTGTAATCTTTTCAACCTGGCTCCACGAATGCCCACAACCTTTCATTTCTTCCTCACATCATCTCCTCCAGGTCACCCTCCCCTCGAACGACCAACTCGTCGCACCCCATTTGGCTTCTATTAGACGGCCTGGAATGGTGCGATATGTACCCGAGTGGTCTTTTCAGTGTATGCCCAACCCGTCTCCACTTTCTTATTCTTCATATTTGTTGAGTTATAGTTTCATGGTTGGTTCTTTACCAGGCCACAGTTCCTTGTTGATGCCTATACTTTCAGGCTACCTGATCTGATCTTCAGTATCGAGTGAGCGTAGACGTCAGCTGTTGATGAATGTCTGTGGTTTGTTGGGAATGCTTTGAGTGACGCTCCAGGTTTCTGAACCATATAGAAGCGCGGACTTGACTGATATTAGTGTTGAGGATCTATATTCTCTCCACGCTTTGTGCTGAGTTGAGTGCAATAGATCTCCACACTGATCAACTCAGATTAGTGCAGGAAAGCCTGTCTTGCTTTTCCAATCCTGGTTTTGATATCTTCATCTATGCCGCCGCCCACAGTTGAAAAGATGCTGCCTAGGTAAGGGAAGGAGACTACTTGTTTTATATTTCTGCCGCTGATGGTGATTGGTGCTTGTTGTTGATGTTGTTGTTAGATGGGTATCTTCATCACCTCTATCTTCTCCAGATTCACCAGAAGGAAGTCCCGTCTTCACTGCCTCGCCTCGCCTCACCTCACCTCACCTCACCTCTTCTGTCAACATGTTGGTTTTCACCTATATATCTTCGAGTTTGTGTGACAAGACGCTAGACATAAATCATCATGGACGAAATCCAAATTGTCTAGGCTGTTTTCATCTGTCCAACCAGTGTATGCCCATGTTCTCACAGCTCCTGACAGTTTGTTGCATGATCCAGTCCAGTCAACCACAATCATGAAGATGATTGGTGATAGTGGGTGGCAACCTTGTCTTACTCCTGTCTTCAGTTTGAAAGTGTCACTGATCTGCTTTCCATTGTGGATCACTTGGCATGTGGCTTTTTCATATAGGTGTTGAATGAGGTTGATAGGGGTTTGTTGAACTAAGGGCGTAATGTTGAGATAGCTGTCTGCCAAATAACTTCTCGGTCGACACTGTCGAAGGCCTTTTCGAAGTTGATGAAGTTGAGTTAGAGAGTTGAAGCCTATTCTGTGCTCCGTTGTATGATGATGCGTAGCGTAGCCTTGCGATTTGTTCCACTCACGATTTGTTTTTCCTGAATCCAGCAAGCTTGTTATGGTGGTAATTTTGAATGGAGAGCTTCTTTTAGTCTTCTCAGTATGATGTGGCTTAATATTTTGCTTGTTGTGGACAGGGACAGGAGCATGATTCCTCGCCAGTTCTTGCAAATACTTAGGTCGCCGTCGTTTGAAAGTTTTGCATGGTAGCCCTTCTTCCAATCGATCATCAGGTTCCCTTCCTTTCTTTCGAAGCCTTCTGCAGTAGTGGTGTGAGCATGTCCGCTATTGTCTCTGAGTCTCCTTCCAGTTCTTCCAGCAGGATTCCATCTGTTCCTGCTGCTTTCCCGTATTTCTGCAGTTTTATGACATTCAGCACTTCTGCTTTTGTCGGAGGGCTTGTGTTCACTGGTAATTCTGTGGCTACAGGTGGTATTTCTGGACGAAGTGCAGGTGGTGGTCGATTCAAAAACTTTTCGTAGTGGTCAGCCCATTGTTTCCTTTGTTTCTTTTCTTTGTGAATTATATTTACTTCATCATCTTCTATTGGTTTCATCTCCGTTGATCTCTTCCCAGATAGTAACCTGGTTATTTGATACAATGTTGTCAGGTCTCCATCTCTCCTACTTGCCAGTGTGTCATAGAAGTGTCTTTTTTCTTTGCGTGCACTCTTCTTCACTTCTTTGTTCAGTGTTTTACACATTTTTTCCACACAGCTTTCAAAGAGTTCCAGTGACCATCCACATCGGTTTCTTCAGGGATGTTCCTCGATATCTCCCACTTTGTCTTGATGGCTGACGTGAACATGTCCCTTATAGTTTCGTCCTTCAGTTTCTGCTCTGGGTGTTGAACTTCAACTGTGGTCTATCACCAACTTCTTTGAATTGAAGGCTTTCAACTTGATCTTGAAGTTAGGTTCCTTGCACTAGATAGTCAGTGGTGTGAACCTGCATCTGCTCCTCTTCTTGACCTTGTGTCAAGTAGGCTGCGTCTCCACTTTCTTGAGGTTGAGATAAAGTCGATTTGATTTTTAGTGTGTCCATCTGGTGAAATCCATGTCGGTTTGTGGATATCTTTGTGCTTGAACACACTGCCTCCAATCATCAAATCGTTGAATGCACAGAATTCTGCAAACGATTCTCCATTCTCGTTCATCACCTCACCGAGCGCTTCCCGGCCCATGGTTAGTTCTCTTCTTGTGTTGTCCCCTCCCAGTTTGGCATTCATGTCGCCCCAACCATTAGAATTCTGATATCGCCAACTGGAGTGGGGTCTTGTCCAGTGTTGATTGCAGTTGTCTGTAGAATTCCTCCTTCTTCTCTTCATCTGCATTATTTGTAGGTGCACAGCGTAGCGGAGCATTGAATGATTGTGACTTTCCTTCCTTTTGAGTTCAGTTCATCTTGCTGTCATGATCCTGATCCTGCAGGAGGAGATTGGTTCCCACTGCATGAGAGAGAGCCTTCGATGCTGTATGGGACATCAATGATAGCCCCTCCATAACTCAGTGTGCTCGTGGTTGTCGTCTGGGTGACAATGTCGGAGTAGATTATTGACTCTGCAGTTGACAGTTTGGAGAGTCCACTTCCATTCCATCTGCTTTCGAAAATTCCTAACACTTCAATGAGATACCTTCTCATCTCCTTTGCAATGTGGGCAGTCTTGCTAGGTTCAAACATGGTGCGGACACTTCATGTCCCCATGTTGTTTACTATTGCTTTCATCGAGAGAAGATACCTCAGCAAATTGACTTTCCGAAGTCTTTCATCAACCGGCGTCATTTCGTCTCCCCAATCCCAACGAGGAATAAGTTTATTTCTGTGTTTGAATTTTATTTGTGCTTTGGAGTTTCTTTAGTGGTTGGATTGGTTTTACGAGGTAGGGTTGCTATCCCTATGCCCAACCTTCCCTCTTTATTTGGGCTTAGGATCGGCTAGTAACTAGTGAACTAGTTGCCTATGGGGTTCCTTTTTTCGAAGTATAAGGGAGATAAAACATCATGAAACTGAAAGCAAATAAGTATTCTACTTCTACGGCTCTTGAGAAACCTTCTTTCACAAACTCAGACTGACTTTTTCTACTTATCCAATACTGTGGTTATGCACAATGGATAAGCTATCCCCCATAGCCATTTCGATGTTTATTGATCGATTTACCTGCTTCTGTGGAACAAGGTATGTTGGGCGTAGATAGAGTTTGCTTTCAAATGGATTTACGAACATTTATCAGCCTGGTTGCACAACAGAAAAACGAGAGCACCTTGAAGTCCTATTTTAGAACATTTGACTGATTATGGCCACCAGATAAATGCAGAAAACAACTTCAGTGACATTCATAGGGTCCGTGAAACCCTTATGAAAGGTATACACCTGAAACTTCTGCAATTTACGGAAGGCCTGTCAAGTTATTATTTTGAAACCCGAACTCTACGTTAAAAAGAAATGAACATGACCTATCAGAACATTTCACCTCAAAACCTTTTCATTCAGATCTTCGCCAAAACTACATTCTTCGATCCCCTCAAATTCAGAATTTTCATTACATTCACCTATCCTTATTTTCTTTTTAGATGTACACAGAGTGTAGTGATCAAGCTGTAACTATAAAAAGTTTAGAGAGTCAAAAAGCTGAATTGGAACAAATTTTAGAAGAAACTCAAACAGAAGAAAGTAATTTACGAACAAAAGCTGGTTTACTCCAAAGAGATTTGATTCAAATAAGAGCTGTTAAAACAGAGCTAGAAGAACGTGTATCAGTTCTTGAGAAAGAAAATAAGCAAAATGCTGGTAATATATTTATACTATGCTTGATTGTTAACAGTAATATGAAGTCATTTTAGAAATGCATTCATTTCAAAATAAAGCATTACGTAGTACATTGAATCTTACTCCAAACGTCTGTAGACAATAAACTTTATTCTGTTAGAATACGACTGACTTCTACTGAGATTCTGTCTGCCTCAGTCGACAGTTTCAGTTCACATTGACCTTCAAACTGACCTTAGATATACTTCAACAAATAGTTAGTTTAAACAATATACTTTTTTCCACATAAATGAAGATTTGATTGTTAAAATGGCATTGAATTTGAACTTCAAGAATGAGATACTTTTACATTTCAAATGAAGAATTCAAACTCTTTGCTATAACCTAGTTGCATACGTATTGACACATTGAACAACACCTTTCAAACCCAATCCTTGATAGTTATTCAGTTAATCAGAAAATAGAAAAGGTGATAAGAGAACAGAAAGTAATTTGTAACTTCGAGATGTGTGTAAAATGAGTGATTATAAAGGTGGCTATAACAAAAACTGAAGTGACCAATAGGATTTCTTCGTAAGATGATCAGTTTTACAAACGATTTTCAAATTGCACGATCCGCTTTGACATTTCTCACAACTGTGTAGTTTTTCAGTTGCTTAACTTGAGTGTCAACCAGGTTTCTGCTGGAAACCAATCAAGCCAATATTACATAATGTGATCTTTGACACAACTGTCAGTAAAATTATTCAAAGATACTACTATTAAACAGTTTAAGTAGTTGTATCCGCCGCTAAAATTCCTGATTCCAAGAAAATTTATTTATCTAGCCGAAATGGAGAAATTCAATGGGCCATTTAAGTCATTACTAGGGCACCCTATAAGGTCAGTCGTGCAAAGTACAATGATGTTGAATATTTTAGGCCTCACTATCTTTGTGTCCAGACAGATTGTATTTAGAATGTAATACCATGGGTGACTTTAAAAGCTGCCCTAGCAACTGCTGAGATGCTCAACTACGTTCCTGTATTTTACGAAAAACTTACTTCCCAAACGAAATACTGAAACCTGACTGATTGTTTCAGCAATCACTAGGATGACCTTTAAATTAAATCATTCCCGCTTACTTACCCATTCTTTCTGTTCGAATGATGTTTTCCCTATATATGTTATGAGCCTAATTCAATTAAAGTTTATGTGAAGGACATTCTAGCAACAATTGAGACAACCAATTAGTTTGCTCCATCTTAGCCTGAAAATCCGTTTTCACATGAAATAAAAACACTTGATTGGATATTTCAGCAGTTGATACAGTGGTCTTTAGAGTACCTCACTCACTTATTCCTGCCTGCCCTTTATCAATTGTAACTTTCATTTTGATTGGTTACCTTTGTCTCTGTGAGCGATTTTGTGAATTGATTAGTGTCAACCATTTGACTAGTTTGCTTGTTGGAGAAGTGAGGCCTTACTTTTGATTATTTATTTAGATCTTGTTGATTTTACTTGTATATGATTCAGTAATTTTACCCACAGAAGCAACACAGTTCAAGGCATCTCATTTCATCCTCATCTTAATTCCTACCTTGTTAATAAACTTCAATTAATTGTCTTCTGAACTTCTGAGGTTTACTTGTCACTTTGACTGGGGTCTAGCAATCACCATTTTACATTTAACAAATGGCCTTGGGTATTTCCATGTCTTTGTAGAAGTACATACCCTTTTGATTTAATCTCTTCAAACAGTCTGATGTTTGCACATATGATCACGTATATTTTCTCAGAACTTGAAAGTGAAATAACTGATTGTGTAAGCCGTTGAAGATTTGGGGCTTCTATAAAAGATCTGGGGAATTCTAATGAAAAATTGAAACTGACAAACTAACTAGTTGCCAATATTTTGCATAAGAATCACTTTTGCTTTTCAAGAAAGAAAAATATTGAGTCTGGAGCATTTGAAGTATAAGTGGTAATCATTCTTCTATGTGTCATTTACGTGGAAGTAGATAAAAAGTAATTTCTTGAACTTCCATTATCTGTTCATTACTGTTGGCCGCCCTCTTCGCCTTCGTCTACATTAGCACCAATTAGTTATTAAACGCCACGATATTTTGTCACTCATTTCAATGCACGTGGATAATAATGGACATGAATTCAATTTCTACAATGTAAAAATTCTGGACGGAGGAAACACAAAGAATGTCAGAGAATCCCTAGAAGCTTGGCATTCAGGTCACTCAGTCAGCAATCAACAGATGTATAGACATAGACCCTATCTATCAACCAATAAGAAAGATGGTAAAAGACAGAAAGGTCAGGGGTTAAGCAGAGGAACAGCCAACAGGAAAGTCTATACAATCAGTGACACAACAATTAAAGGAAACAACCAGTCACTGACCGAATCGTCAGAGCAAGTCACTAAATCACTCATGGAGAGATATTGGCAGCTCACTTCACATTGAAGTTAGTGGTGATGATGTCGTTTAGACAGACGATGAAGGCTCTATGAGTAAACAACCCAGCTCAGAGGATACAATACAACCAAGACCATCCACCTGAGCTACAAATATTCTCCATTATTTCAGTATCGTATGCTTTTTAAGAAACTTTCAACAAATCTCATTTCTAGAGCCACTATGCACTTCTCTACAATCTCCACGTTCATGAGTTACTAAATAAACTGAACATAAATTAATTAAAATCCTTGAACTAGCACTTTTCTTCGATTGACCTTGAAAATCACCCCAACTACAATTAAAGCAACCAATTAGATTTTAGCATTTTATTTAAGCATGAAGGTTATCCATAGAATAGAGAGACCTAATTGGTTACCTAACTGTTTGCTAGATTGACCTTGACGGTCATTCCTTCCTTCCCCTTTCCATTAGGTTTGTATATAAATAGCATGTTCACAACACAATAAATTACAAAAGTATAATACAGCCATTCAGAAGACAAAGTGATGAGTATGGCTTGCAGTTAGTTTACCATAGCTTTTCGGAGACACAGCAGGAAAAAATAATCAATCAGTCTTCAGAAAACTTTTAAAAAGGGTCACTAAAGAATGCGTATTAAATAACTTCTGAGTAGATTATTTCAAAAGAAAATACTGTATAGTAAATGGCTGAAAATAAGATATTCAGTTAAATTAAACATCTTCCTATCTTCGGTCTGTAATAAGGTCAAAAATCAGCTGTATTGCTACCTGTACACATTCATGTGGTAAGGAATGTTCCTGATGTTTCTACAACAAGTGATAATTAGTCAGACCTCATCACTTCTTATTCTATTAACAGATGTACTTGAATATACATCCATAAAATGACAAGTCTACTAGGCCACCGGGTCACGATAGCCGTCCCTTGTGCGAAGGGTTTAGTGTAGTTTTGATGTTGTAGCTTGTAAATCTCTGTCGTTAACTTGACCGAGTTGATCAGCCATTGTTAGTACAGATATTCCTGTTGAGATGCATCTATATTCCTGGCATTTTCAGTTTTGATATTCATGATGAGTTTGCCGAAGTTCTAACGAGACATCATGACTTTGTGGTTGACTGGTCAGTGCGCTTGCCATGAGAGCCGAAGGTCATGAGTTCAATCTCTGACACGGTCATGTGTGCGTACTGCTGAAGAGCCAGACTTTGGGACGAAACAACTAACCAGTACTTCTGGATTTTCAATGGTTCTCCAACTGATGACAGTCAGCGTTGAATGCTATCTTACGAATAATCAATAATTGGCTAGAGAGAATAAATTTTTAGCCATCCTGTATTTAGACTTTTCCTTACACATGGTTCTCACAACTGGAACATGCAATCTCATTACCTTTGATACTTATAGTTTCAATGAATCATTAAGCATGTTACTAACATTTTAATATTGTTGATAAGTTACCAGTGATATTCATTTAAATTATTTTAGAAAAACTGAAGGAGACAAAGGAACGCTTATCTTCTGTCAACAGACAGGTCACCGATTTAGAAAGTTCTCGAGCAAGATTAGAGTCAGAAAGAGATAATCTGGACACTACATTGAAGGATACTGAAGATGCATTACATGAATGTGAAGTAAGCAGTCGATTGATATTTTACAAAAGTTGAATAATCATTTAAAAGAGAAATCTGTTCTAATTAAATCTGGTAATTTTTTTTGCATTTAGGGGGTTTGTAGAGATTTATTAATTTTTAAGGTTGTTATTCATCACAGACTGGTATCAGTTGGAAGAACATTGAGAAACTGGGAGCATCAGACAGATATTTCATCCTAGTATTTGTCCTGGTGGCCGTGAGGAAAAATACTCAACGATGGCATTGGGTGATGGAGGCTCTATGATAGAAGTTGGAAGTATGGACCATTGGTTTCCAATGGCTAGCTCAGTTGTAACGTGCTGGCCAAGGAACCTGAAGGTTCTGAGTTCGATCCCCGGTGGGGTTGGTGGAGTTATTGGGGCACACTGCTGAGGAGTCCCATACTAGGAAGAAACGTCCGCCTGATGCTCACAGGTTTCCAGTATTCTTCCATATGATATCAGTCCATGATGAATACCAACTTGAGAAAATATTGCATCCGAAAACCAGTAATGAAATAAAAATGCTTGTGAAGTGTCTCAGAAGCATCAACCTGAAGGGTTATGAAATTTTTATTGCATCATGAACAACACCTTCTGTTTTGTTACGTTTTAAGCTGTATTTGTTCCAGTAATGAAAGGGTTTACTCTATAAGGGGCATTGTACTGCTAATATCTATTCGAATAAAGCAAGAATAATAATAGTAGCATCATTAACATGAAAACACTTCATGAACTCTCATCAGCTGCTCAATAATCTAGAGAATATAGTGTCTATGATCATGAAACATGTGTTACACAACCCAATTTGATAAGGTGACAAGAATATTTTTATTGAGATGGCAGGTAACATAGATTTAAGTTGACCAAAATTCATCAAGTTTTTGAAACTCCCCAAAGGTTACACAGTGACAGAGTGAAGATAACAAAAAAGGAAGCGAGAGAGGCTGGCACATAATGTTGTTCTATAATTATATCAATGATGGATCGTGGCTAGCAGTGGAATCCAGGATGGGCACTTCGCCCTATTTGGGACTCGTCAGCTGGATGGCCTACTTCCCAGTGAGTGATATTGTTCTCACCCGGATTCGGGATCGGGAGCGATCGGTGGGAACAACATTACTCACTGGGAAGCAGGTACGTCCAGCTGATGAGTCCCAAATAGGACGAAGTGCGCATCCTGGGTTCCACTGCTAGCCACGATCCATCCTTAACATAATCAGATTGCTGGCAATATCGAGGCATCCGCACAGGAGCCCATATGCCAATAGAGACCGATCAACTCGGTCCCATCAGCGACGGTATCATATAAAAACAATTATGCGAATCATTTTTATATCATATCATAATTGGTTAGTAAGTGTAATAAAAGGTCAACAGGTTTTCAACATATTTAGTAAGATTGACAACAGTATCTTCCTGAATACATAGATCAAGTATGAGTCTATTGATTAAAACTACTTCAGCAAGGTATAAAAGGTTGGGTTTCAGTTGATCACTCTGAACGGTTTCGATAGGTCAAATTTATGTCGATTATAAAGTAGATGTCGAACGATTGAACTATTTAAACCTCATGGCCCCTTAGGACTGAAATTCTCGAGGATATGTTCAGAAATGCGAATGACAATCCTTTAGTCTGTTCTTTCAATATAAGTGCTTTGGCACGTATAAATGAGATGGCGGATGCAGCTGGCGGTAACAACAGTTGGGAACTTACTACTTTGAACTGTCTCAATGAGCATTTAGTCTGATACACACAGATCATCTTCGCAGCTAGACAGATCTTTTTCAGTACAGTACTCATTCTGCGGTTCATCTGAGTAGCAACCTGGTCTCCTTTTTGAAGGTAAGATGTAAATAGACATGCTTCTTGTCAACTGAACCACACTTGATTCTCTTCGTGAGCAACCGTTTTCGCTCTGAGAGTGTTCGACAGAAGTCAGTTCTTCTTCAATTCTCTTTTCAGAGCACAGTTTACGTATATGGCTTAAAGTCTTTGTACCAGATATTTTTTGTAACTGATTGGTAAAAAGCTGTTGATATTCAAGTAAAGTTCATTCCCTGTATCTATGAATCTATCCATCTGCATGATATTGAAGGCTGAAGTCCAGGGAGTGGAATTTTTTGTTATATTCAGTTTCAACTGTGAATGCTGAATTTATTTTAATGGAAACCAGTGGCATTCGTAACTTCATAACCACTTTTTTTGTAAATGAATTTATCAGCACTAATTTTACATTTAACTCTGTGCTCTGAAGTTTCTTTAGCAACTGGACTGATTTTACGGGGTAGGGTTGCTTGCCCAACGTTCAATCTTTCCTGTTTATTCAGGTTTAGGACCGGCTAGTAAACTAGTGAACTCAGTGATATCTTTGAAGTGAAGACAGGAGTAAGACAAGGCTGGCACCTACTATCACCCATGATATTCCTGATTGTAATCGAATTGACTTGATCATGCAACAAACTGTGAGGACCGAGAAGATGGGCCTACGCATGCTGGACCGATGAAAAGAACCTACACAATTTGGATTTCGCTTATGATGACTTATGTCTAATGTATTGTCGTACAAACTGAAAGATCTACAGGCAAAAACTAACAAAGTATGTAACACAAATGCTGAAAAAATCCTAGTGTATTCGATTTTGTTCAATGAAGTGCTGTGTTTTTGTATCACTTCTTATTCTCCTCCTCCTCAATTGGAAAGTATTCTATTTTCCTGAAGAATTTTGACTAAAACAGAACATGTTTTTGTATGACAAGATTTTTCCATAACAATTTTTTTTAATCTAAACATTAATTTGGTATATTTCAGACTCGATATCAAGCATCATGTTCTGCACTAACTACTTTAAGAAGTGAACTTGAACGACAGTCAAGAGATAAAGAAGAGGAAATAGAAAGTTTGAGGTAATTATCATGCACAAATTATAATCGAAGCATTATCCAATTAAATTTTACTTAATCATAGAATAGCATTTTCATTGTAATTGTTTTCAGTTTTAACATTGTACTTTGTATACTTAATTTACTTTTTTCTATACTTACTTAAAGGCGTTCAAGTCAACGTAATATAGAAAATTTAAAAGTTGCCATTACAGATATGGAAATTAAAAATCAGAATGAAATAGACAGAATTAAAAAAAAACTTGAAGTAACTATACAAAATTTACAAGTTCAATTGGATGAAGAAAAAAATGCTCATATAGAAACGATTAAAGCTCAACAAGAAACGGAAACACATATTTGTCAGTTGGAGATGGAAGTAAATGAATTAAATAATTTAGTCAGTGAAACTGCATCCACCTTACAGGTATGTTAATTGGCTTATCTACTGGAATATAACGATGTGGATACTATCTGGAAATAGTTTTACATAATAACTTGTACAGTTTGTTTCCTTGAAGGTTATCATTAGTATAACCTAATATATTAAATAACCTTTAATTATCTTAATTAACTAAAGTTTCTGTTGGTGCAGTATGGATGTATTTTATATTATTATTTGTCTCTCGGGTTCCTAGTGGAATATAGGGCTTCAGTAGCATATCTCCAATGCCCTCTGTTCTCTGAAATCTTTTGAACCTGACTTCATGACAGCCGACAAGCTCTCATTTCCTCCTAGCACGATCTCCTCCATGTCACCCTCGCCTTGGATGCCCAACTCGTCGCTTCCCATCGGGGTTCCACTCGACAACCTGAACTAGCGCGTGATGTCCCCAGTCGGCCTTCTCAGTGTATGTCCAATCCATCTCCGCTCTCTTCTTCTGCATATTTGTTGGGCGACAGGTTCTTGGTTGGTTCGTTTCCAGCCAGCCAGAGTTCCTTGTTGCTTATTCTTTCTGGTCATCCGATCTGATCTTCAGTAACGAGTCAGAGTAGGCAGTTGTTGATGAATATCTCTAGTTTGTTGGAAATGCCTTTCTTAACCCACCAAGTCTCTGAGCCATATAGAAGCACTGACTTGACTAACGTTGGTGCTGAAAATCCGGGTGTTGTTCACGTTTTATGCTGAGTGCAGAGATCTCCACACTGGTTTCAGGTTAATGAACGCCTATCTTGCTTTTCCGATTTTGGCTTTGACATACTCATCTGTACCACGAGTGGTTGAAACGATGCTGCCTAGACAGGTGAGTAGGTGAAAAAGACTACTTCCTTCAAGTTTCTCCTATTGATGGTGATTGGAGTTTGTTGTTGTTGGTTTGGTACCTTCATCATCTCTGTCTTCTCTACATTCACCTGAAGGAAGTCCCGTCCTCGCTGCCTCTTCCGACAACTTGTTACTTTTCGCCTGTACATCTTCAAGTGTGAGTGTGTGACATCAGACACAAGTCATCACTCACGAAATCCAAATCTTCTAGGTTCTTTTCCACAGTCCAGCGTATCCCCTTCTTCTCGCTCCCCACTGTTCGCTGCATGATCCAGTCGACCACTATCAGGAATATCATGGGTGATAGTAGGTAACCTTGTTTCACAACTGTCTTCTCTTCAAAGGCATCACTCAGCTTCCCATTTTGAATTACTTGGCATGTGGCATCTTCATATAGTTGTTGAATGAGGCTGATAAAGGTTTGCGGTATTCCGTAGTATTGATGATGTATATCAGCTGGAAATTCTAAAACTTATAAAATGAAGATTTTGGTGGAGGCGATGAAAAAGAAAATGAATGATCAACTTTTGAAAAATTTATGATCAGGTAGTGTTATGAAACGAGGCAATATAAGGGTTATAGTAGACTGTATTAACTGCATGATTATGAATATTGGGAGTAGATTTTACGAAATATCCTGGAAGAATTCATCAGTCATTAATTAAGTAAACTTTCAGTGGTATTCCGACTGATATAATGGGCTACTGCATTTTATTACGTTTCTATCACTACTGTATTTCTATATGGTAGTGTCTGACTGTGTGGAAGGAGTACTGAACAAGTATATAACGTTTATCAAAGCTCTGTACTGCAACTCACACAACTGTATCAAGGCAGATAGAGAGTTATCATCTTAATTGACGAAAACTAGTGGTACTCATCACGCATGCCCAGTATCACCGTTCTGATTTGACTTCATTTTAGACGCACTAGTGGAACATAGCCTTAGTTACGTCTGACTTCACAGGGATTGATCTACTCACTGGAGGTTAACTGGTTGACTTAAGGTGTGCAGATGATATCGTCATGCAAGATGAAAACCCTGACAAAATGCATGGTCGTCTGGAAGCACTCAGCAGAAATCTGTCTATGTTTGGCATGCGTTTCACACTTGTCAAATATAAGATAGTGCATTAGAACTAGCCTATAACTACTCTCATTTTAATAACAGGGAGTGAAGTGGTTGAATATGTCGACCACTTCACCTACTTGGGGTGTTGCATCAGACCGACGTCGCTGGTTTCCGGTAAAATCTCAGTTCGGATACAGAAGGCCAGTTCTCCTTTCGCCAACTCGCATCATCTTGTAGAACCGACTGGGAAGATATCCATATCTATTATCGGACAGGTATACTGCATTGCAGTTCATTCTGTCCTGTGATACAAATGTGAGATATGGTCATTAGAAGTAGAAGATATGAAGGGACTACAGGTTTCTGATCACATGTGTCCTCGTAGCATTGCTCGCGTTTTATGGAATCACCAAGTGAGCTATTTTGTGTTCACGTGAAGGGTACTAATCAAGACAGGTGAATCAGTTGATGAGGTTGTGGACCTAAGTCGACTGAGAGGGATTGGACATGTTGCCCATGTTGAGCCACTGCCTACCTCAACGTGTCATGCTGAGGGAAGTTGGATTAGGTTTGAAGAGGATTGAAAGTGGCGAGATGGGGACGCGGTACTAGTCGAAGGAGTTCTTGACTGTTGGTATCAGTCTTGTAGGGCGATATAGATTGCGTAGCTGGTTGGTCGCCTCGAGACCAAAGTAACAACTGGCTGATTACTGACTGCTGGTGAGATGTCTGGAAATGGGTGACAATGGCGTAAATGTATTCACTTCTTGACTTAATCTAAAGCTTCACTGTTTTGACTTACCTTGATTTTCAAATTCCTTCTGGTATTTTTGTCTACGATGATATCAGTCTTTTTCTGTCCACTCGTTCTTTTCATGTTATTTTGCAGTATTTAAACTTGAACCAATGCACTTGTCTGCATCGTTCGACAATGATTTTCTCTCTCTCTCTCTCTCTACCGGATCTACGCTTCTGTGTGATAGTAGCTAGAAAACTCAAATAGACCTATAACTCTAATTACTTAAAAACTGAATTTCGGTATTATCCTTTGTAATGACTTTGTTAGATATATGACAAGTAGATTTCTTACCTTCAGTTTATTGAAATGGTGAAGGATATGTGGAGCTTCTGTGGTTACTCTTTCTTTATGTGAATGAAGACTCTTCCTTAGTACATCTGCATGAACAAAATCAACGCCATTTTAGTTTCCAATTGAATGCATAGTTACCATAGATTGCAGAAGTTTTTGTAAATCACCTATATTTATTCATTTCTCCAGTATAATTGGTCTCAAACTCCAGACTTACAATCTAATTAAATGAATAGCTATCTTTCATCTTTACCACTGAATACTTCAACTAAACTGAAACGTTCTCAAAATAATTCAAAGGTTTGAAATATACTTTAATACTATTCGAAGCAAACGCTGTTTGAATCTACTCGGAAGTACATAACCCATACAGTATCGTCATAGATGACATGCATCACTTTGTTGTGAACCTTCGCCGTATCGATAATGTTGTTTAAACGCTTTCCGATAAGTTTCTGTTATTATTTTTTGGCTTTATGTCTGAACACTCATATTACTTTCATGTTAACTGGGTGATCAAACAGAAAGCTTAAATACATATGGAATTGTTGGATTTCTCCATGTTAAACATAAAAAATCTTCCTTCATTTGATGTTAAAATAGGAAAAATTAGAAAGTTATACTCATTACTTTCGATTACATCCCTGAATTTTATAGAATCTAATACAGGCATTTAAATTTATCAAGATAGTTTCTTAGGAGGAGCAAAAGTATAAGAGTAAAACTTGGGCACTGTGGTCGATTGTGATTCCACTTTAGTTTGTGTATTAGAAATAACATACAGTGGAGAAACAGTAGCATTTACTGGATAACATTTCGGACACAATTTATTGTCCATATTCATATCACCAGGTAACTCCACACATCTTCGAGACAGTCTCTATATATTCCTAATTTTCTCTCCTTCTCTGTGATGATAAGGGTAGTAGAATTTTTCATACATCTGAGACAGGTACAGAATCATTCCTGTTACTGCATGTGTTTGGTGTTGATTCGATAAACAAAGATTCAGTCGGTTATCAATCTCTCCCTCCGTCCACCCAACTAAGTTACTTTTCAACACTGTCACCCTATCCCACCCTACTGTGTGATTGTGTGTCATCGCATGCAGAGCTATGGCCGAGTTTTTCTCTAGATTTCCCAGCTAAGTTTTTGTGCTCTAATCGACCTTGACTAGTCGACTGCTTTGACCTATGTACTTGACCTCGCAATTATTGCAAGGGATCTGGTAAACCAGATTATTTTGCTTAATTACATCAATAGGATCTTCTAACCTACAAATCTTGTTTCTAAGTCAGTTTGTTGGTTTGAATCATTGCAAGGTTAACAGAGAATTCAAAACCTCTGCTGTGCTATCATACAAAGAAGGCACCTCAGAAGCATTATGAAGAATTCTCAGTAAGGTTGGGATTAAAGTGGCAGTCAAACCAACAAACTCACTTAAGCACCTACTATCCTTGTTCTTATCATCATTATCATCTATATTGCATGTGCCTTAGTCAATGTTATCACTTTTATCAATTTCATTATTATTATCTCCACCGTTATATGAAATATTTAACACATCAACCGACAAATCTACATGGTTGGTTTAATTTTATGTATATATATATATATATATATATATATATATATATATATATATATATATATATATATATATATATAAGCTATTTGTATTAAAGCCTGAAGAGGATCTAATTGAAAACGATATTGTTGGCTTATATGTCTTGTTCGAATTTACATGAGAGGAATTTTTAAAACCGAATCTTTGTTTATCGAATCAACACCTATCCCCTATCCCCTCAAAGTGTTTGAGAGAGCTGTTATTATTGTGTACTGATAAAGTTCATTTCACATTTGAAGGTGAACATTTTCGACAAATAGATGGTGTGGCTATGGAAGTCCTTTAGGACCATTGCTAGCTGATATTTACATGTCACACATTGAGAGCTTGACCGGTGATCTCATCAATAAAGTTACTCTCTATAAAAGATATGTCGATGATATAATCGTCATATGTGATAAGCATGAAGATGCAACATGTTTGTTAGAAAGACTTAACAACGTACAAAACAACATAAGCCTGACAAGTGAAGAAGAAAAAGAAAACCGTCTGCCATTCTTGGATATACTCCTAAGTCGTAGAAATGATGGTTCAATAAAACGGTCGATCTACAGGAAACCTACTTGGACAGGTCAGTATTTAAGTTTCCATAGCTTTTGTCCAACCCAATACAAGCGAGGTTTGGTAATTTGTCTATTTAAAAGGATCGAACGTATTTGTACGGAGGACTCAATGGATGATGATATCAAAATACTAACGGAAACATTAGTGGAAAATGGATATCCATTGAAGTTCATAAACCGCTGCAAAAATCAGAGAGGATTCAAACCTGATCTGTTCTCTGTTTCGAAGAAATGCGTTTACATCGCGTTACCATACAGAGGAGAATGTAATAGCATAATATTAAAACGAAGGTTAAGGTCTGCTGTTAGCAAAACGTACTATGCAGCTAAGCTTATCATAGTTGAGAAGACCAAACACCTGCTGCTACCTAGACCTCAACGCTGTATAAACGATTGTGTCACATCCCATTGCGTTTATAAATTTACGTGTGTGTGTGGAAAAACATACATAGGGAGGACGAATCGTGATATGCACTTGAGGGTAGGGGAACATGTTCCAAAGTGGCTACGAAAGCAGCTGGATTCACAAACATTGATAAGCGCAGATGGCAGACAACCATCATCATCCATTGCGAAACATATCATTGATAAGAGTCACAGAATTGATATCAAGACAGCCTTTACAATTTTGTACCGAAACTGTCAGGGGCGTATACTTAAGTTTGTTGAGGCGCTAGCCATAAATAAATTTAACCCCCCATTGTGTGTGCAAAACAGTTTGTCCTTACATTAAGCCTACCTTGGTAATGCTTATTTTATCGTATTACCAAGATTGTCTTCAAGTCTTATCTTTTATTCCTCTCATTATCTTTCTTATTATTGAATTCCTTTATGTCATATGTGTCCTTCCCCCACTTCCAGTTTTCATATATAATGCCTTAACAAGTAAATGTGTGATCAGATTGTTCGAAATGTATAGCGCTAATAAATCACATTTTTCAGATAATCTACGTCTTCTAATTACATTATCCAAAGTAATAGAAATGATTGTACACCTGTCCCAGATGTATGAAAAATTCTACTACCCTTATCATCACAGAGAAGGAGAGAAAATTAGGAATATATAAAGACTGTCTTGAAGTTGTGTGGAGTTACCTGGTGATATGAATATGGACAATAAATTGTGTCCGAAATGTTATCCAGTAAATGCTACTGTTTCTTCACTGTGTGTTATTTCTAATAAACAATAAAATGGAGCAAAAGTAAGTTATACACATCACCTATTTATCATCGATACTGGGATATGTTTAGCTCATTGTCTTCCAAAATCTTCATATTATAGATTAAACATAACAAGAGACAATTAATGATCCCAGTTGATGCTTTATTTGTTTAACGGTGAATTCTGTCTCGACAAGTAAAACATGATGTTTCTAGGCTTAGCATTGCATAATCCATAGTTTAATTTTTCAGCTTCAGATTTAATTGTCATGCTTACCCACACTTTACGATGTCGTTAGTCACATGAATAGGAAGATCGAAATAACAAACAAGTAGGCATAAATCACTGTCGAATCAAACTATAACATATAACGCTATCCTGTTGAGGTACACAAGGGTAAGGAGAAAGAAATTAAACTAGTGATTTTGAGTTATTCAGTTTTCTTGTTGCTAAATTCAACATTTATACGTCTCATCAGTTACAATCCAACAAATTGTGAATAGATGAATGATAAGAAACTCACCTCGTAACTATTCATCACACTTTTACAATAATTAAGAGAATGTAGCCACTGATAGCTCTTAGTAAAGAGTGAATTATATTTACCACCTCAACCATTAGCTTCATATAATGGAGTTGAATTTCGTGCTTCTTCAAAAAATAATTTATAATTGGTAGGTAAATTAGCTATAAGAAAATATTTTATTATGCTCATATCACACGTAAGTGTAGGAGTTTCAGAAGTGATGTAACACATGCATAACAGAAGTTTTTATCGTGTTAGAGAAATAATGCTCACTTAGATCACTACAAAATGCTGATATATTCCACGGATAGTTGTTAGGATAAATATCTTTTCGGCTATTTAGAATCTTGCTTTACCAATACTTTAAAATGGTTAGACAAAGGAAGTTGGTACAAAAATGTCATCTGATATTCTCAAAATCTTCGTAAATCAAAAATGATAACCAAGAGAACAGTTTAACATGAATATTATCAATTCCGTAAGTGGATAGGAACTTTTGAAGTTGAAAAGAAACATTCACATTCGTAATTTATGAGTAAAAATAGTAAATGGGTTAAAGAAACTGTTTCTGAGGTATATAGAATCAGAACTTCTAAAATAAAAAAGAATGATGTACAGTGGTCCGCTGACTTCTACTTATTATAAACAAACACTCATCTCAAACAATTAGGCATTTTACTCATGATAAATACTGATGTAGAAAGGAGTAAAAAAAGGGACGCGGAATGGTATGCCTAGTGTCGGCGAGTGGGACAATGGTCATTAGCTACGTTACACCTTGCACTAAAACCGTCATTTGCAAAATATGCTTCGTTTTCTCTTCTGCTTCTTTCTTGATTTGTTCTTTATACGCATACCTTGTCTCTTGCGTTTCTCTTGGCAAAATCATTACCCATTGCTGGTAATTCTTTATGATTTCTGACACCCTCTCAACATATACTACTTATTTCTATTCTTATCAGCAACGTCCATTGCAATACAAATCATTTCTTCTTATCAAGTTTTAAAATTTTCCTATTCATGATTGTTTGGCTGCTTAAAGAAATTGGATTCTGAGACTTATTTCTCACTACAGAACGGATGATAAAGAGATCATATACAAAAAGGGATACCACCTTTCGGAAAAGTGAATTTTGAATATTTTATCATTTTACTCAAATCCATAAGTTTTATTAGGAAGTATTTCAATAAAATAATGACTTATCTATAAATTTTATCACATCATTAAGTATATTTTTATGAATTTAAAGATCCGCACAGATTATTCAGAACAAGAATAATATGAGTGAACAATTGTTTTCAATAACTTCTTCTTCGTCTTCAGGCTCTACTCAGTTATAAATCCATGAGAATAAATGAAATACAATAGCTCAGTTAAGGCATGATATGCAATTTTTCTACTACATTTAAACAGTATTATGGGGAAATGGAGACTGTTACTTCCAGTACATAGATGATACGTTTATCATTGACAAAAATGGCTACAATAAACCAGATCTTTTGAATACCTTCAATAATGTTCATCCAGCTATGAAGTTCACTGCAAAGAAGAATAAGGGAATAGTATTCCTTTCCTAGATGTCCTCCTCACCAGAAAAACGGATAGGTATATTGAAGTGAATATTTTTGGAAAGAACACATGAACTGGTCAGCATATTCACCTTCATAGCTTTACACCGATTCCATGTAAAAGAAACCCGGTCAAATGCCTGCCTTACAGAATAAGAAACATTTGTTCTGATGACTGTATTGAAGAAGAAATGATTAAGCTGAAGATAACATTGCAACAAAATGGTTATCCGCTAAACTTCATAAATAAACGCATGTCGAAACCTATGATGGCCACTTTAATATGCATCTGTGAGTTCAACTCCTCCTGTGCAGCTAGTTACATAGGCTGTGCTCAAAGGGCTCTATCCACTTGCGCTCCTGAACATTTGCCATCTTGGTTAGGGAAAGAAATGACAATGAGCATCAACAGTGCAATCCTCTCACATCTAATAGATACCAGACATCAGATAAAGGTAGATAACGAGTTTTCTTTGATATACCGTGTTCTTTGCAATCTCCCTAAAGGTGCACGACCTCGTATCTTATACATACCCGAAGCTATGGAGATCAACGTAAGAAAACCAGACCTGTGTGCTCGAAAGAAATATGTAGATAGGTTTACCTTGACCCACAACAAGGTTGACACCTTCATGAACTTTCCTACCATAAATTGAACATTTTAACCTCCCATCCCTTTCTTCTATATTGTCATTATATTGATAAACATTCATTTTGTTATGTCATTAGTTCTACTCCCTTCTTTATTCATACCACAACCGGTAGTCAATTTCAGCGGTAACGTAACACTTCACATTTGTTACTCTCTATTTCATTATAAGTATTCACATGATTTTCATGCTACTTGAATATAACTCATCACTACATAATAATTATTAGACCCTTAGTAGACAAACACACCCATATTCATGCCCCAGTAAATATCTATACACGAATCATTATCTGTATGTTTGGCCGACTGAAAAGGCCAGCCTAGCAACAATCGATATGATCAATTAGGTTTCTCTATTTCAGCTGGAAAGGCAGATTTTCATAAAATAGAGAAGTCGAATTGGTTATTTCCGTTGTCAGTAGGGTGGCCTTTAAAGTCACTCGTAGATTTTGTTTCTTCGTTTCATAATTGTTCTGTCAATGTTGATTTGATTGAACGACTAACACACTAGACTGATAACCATCCCACTATTCCATTCGATTTGATCTCCATTCCCCCATAACACTGACTGTTTCAATATAATAGCAAAATTGTACATCATGCCTAAACTGGGCTATTGTATTTCACTTATTCTCATGGATTTATAATTGTGGAGCCTGAAGAAGAAGAAAAAGAAGTAGGTATTGAAAACAATTAATTGCTGAAATTGTTCTTATGCTTTTATTTTTAGATCTGTGAAAATCGTCGGTCTGCTTTATCCAGTGAAGTGGATAGTTTGAGAGGTCAACTGGAAATCACAGAAAGATTGAAAAAAAAACTTGAAGAAGAATCATCAGAGAATATGTCGAAACTTGGCAGTCTAACTATACAAATAAATAATTTGACTGCAGAAAAACGAAAACTTGAAGGTCAGATAGCTGTGCTTCAAGGGGACTTGGATGACGTAACAGGTGCTAAAGACGTGAGTTACCACCATAAGTTGATTCCACTAACCAATTATTATTATTATTATTATTATTATTATTATTATTATTTGTCCCTTGGGTTCATAGTCGAACATACGGCTGCAGTAACACGTCTCCATTACACTCTATTCTCTCCAGTCTATTCAACCTGACTGCAACACTACCAAAAACCTCTCATTTCTTCCTCACACAATATCCTCCATGTCACCCTCAACTCGGACATCCAACTCATCGTCGTCGTTTCAAATCTGCCTTCCACTCAACCAACTGGCCCGGCCTCGCCTGGCCTGACCTGACCTGCTGCGTCATGTCCCAAAACCGTCTTCTCAGTACATGCCCAATCCATCTCCACTTCCTTCCAGTGCATATTTGTTGAGTGATAGATTCTTGATTCGTTGGTTCGTTGACAGCCAGCCAGCCAACCAGCCGGAGTTCCTTGTTACTCATTCTTCCTGGCAATCCATCTGAGCTTGAGTAAGGAGTCGGTGTAGGCAGTTGTTGATGAATATCTGTAGTTTGTTGGAAATGCCTTTCGTCTCTCAACCATCAGATGGAAGCACTGACTGACTTGACTGACGTTGGTGTTGAAAATCCAGATGTTGCTGATGCTTCATGCTGAGTGCAGTGCAGTGCAGAAGGTTTCCACACTGATTTCAGGTTGATGAATGCCTGTCTTGCTGTCTTTCTGATGCTGTCTGACTTTGATGTCCTTGTGTGTGCCAGTGCCGCCTTGTAGTTGAAACGATGCTGCTTTGCCTAGATGTTTGAGAGAGGCTACTTTCTTCAAGTTTCTCCCATTGATGGTGATTGGAGCTTCTTGTTGTTGTTGGTGGTGTTGGTGTTGGTTTGGCATCTTCATCACCTCTATCTTCTCTACGTTCACTTGAAGGAGGTGCCGTCTTCCTTTGCTGCCCTGCCTCTTCTGTCAACTTGTTAGTTTTTGCCTGTAGATCTTCAAGTTTGTGTGACAGGACATTATACATAAATTATGATCGGCAAAATCCAAATCGTGTAGGTTCTTTTCATCGGTCCAGCATGCGTAGGCCTATCTTCTCGCTCCTCACAGTTTGTTGCATGATCCAGTCAACTCGATTACAATTAGGAATATCATAGGTGATAGTAGGTGCCAGCCTTGTCTTACTCCTGTCTTCACTTCAAAGGCATCGTGGAGCTTCCTATTGTGAATTACTTGTCATGTGGCGTTTTCCTATATTTGTTGAGTGAGGTTGATAAAGGTTTTGTGGTATTCCGTAGTGTTGAAACAGTTTTCAAATAACAGAATGTTCCTAATATGAATAAACCTGTAACACTTTTATATCCATCCGGGGCTATTTTATCACTTTTATCATTTTTTATGCCTACAACAAGATCCGAAGTAAACTGTTGACGTTTTCATGAAGTAGGCTACGTGATCCATACAGGTGAGACACTAAAGCTTTTTCAAGTTAGGTCTACTGATAAAGTTTGGATTTGGGACTAAGCGATTGTAAATTAATCCAATATATTTCTCCGTGGTTTATTGCAAGCCTTTGTAGACTAACCTTAGACAAGTTCAGCAACCGCTAGTCATCGTCGATGAGTCATATATATGAATTAAACATAAGTATTTGGAAGAAGAACTGTTGTGAATCCATAATATTCCAAGTGAAAACAGATATCGTGATAAGCTCATCAAAGCCAATATCACTTACATAAGTCATAAATAAGAATTGATGGCAGCGCAGAAGAAACTTTTATTTCTTCGATTACAATTCAAGGGCGACGTTGCAAGTGACATCCTATCACAAGGTCTAGCTAGAACAGCCAAAAGAACGTTCTGTGGAGATCTTTCAGCATTCGGTTAATGGTCATTCCGAGACCAAAGGATAACCTACCTAATCTTAACTCTTCATCCTGAATATATATCAATTTAACTCTTTATGTGGAACAATGTACATAGAGCGTACAATTATTCGTGTGCGTCTATGCATACTACAGCATTTATCGGCTTGATACAGAAAAAGTGAAGTGAAAGTGGCAAAAGTTCCATCTTAGTACACCCAGTAGACACACAGATGCCAATAAAACTTTCAATCCCATATATCGTAAGCTAAAGACAATACCAAGTGTATCTCACCAATGCCTACTTAGCATATCTGAGACTGTTGCTATATGACTGATCAAGCCTGAACTCTACATTCATAAGGAATATACTCAAACGATATTTTTCCCTTGATGATACGTAAAATAAAGCCAACTCCTATCTTCCTTATCTGTTGTCTTTTTATTTCCTATGCAAATACTGACAAATTTAGAAAGCAAACTCGACTACCTTATGGTCCCTAACTCTCATTCAGTTTACAAGATGTAGCAGTCCCTAACTTTGCTTGATGCTATCTGCTCCTGTATTGTACAGGTGGAAAGAAAAATATGTATAAGGGAAGTTAGCGTTCTCATGGTTTGTCGACAGATGAGAGCAGACAATTTGAGGATTATGTATATGTTATCTCATCGAAATAGTCTCATTCTGTAAGTTTTGGGGAGAAGAGGTAAGTCAGTCGACGAGGTTGTGAACCTTCATCGACTGAGATGGTTGGGACACGTACTACGTATGCCTAGTCACCGATTGCCTCGTCACACAATGTTGGCTGAGGTGGGTCCAGGCTGGATAAAGGCCTGAGGTGGCCAGACTAAAACATGGCACCAATGTATGAAGTGTCTGACTGTTGGTTTAAGCCATGTAGGACGATGCAGACTAAGTGGTTGGGGTCCACGGGACAAGAGGAACCAGTGGTTGGAGACTGACTGTAGGTGATATGGCTCAGAACCGAAGTCAGTGGCGCATATGTATACACACATTATCCTCATCTTAACAACGCTATACCGAATCTCACCATTTTGTCGCTCCTCTTTCCTTTCTTCTTGTACTTTATATTTCTTCTGACTGCATTCACTTATCTTCATCCTTCACCTCACTACCTTTTTACTTCATGTGCTGATATGAGGTGTGTCAACTCGGACCGTTAGGCAGTAATGCCTGGTCCTATGTTGATAATGATGATGATGATGATGATGATTCTGTAAGTTTGAAACAGCTTAAAACTCTGAAATCAGTGGTATTGGGAAGAAAATTCTTGAACGATCCTGATTATAAATATTTGTCACTTTTTTCAAATTTGTGATGTTTATTTGAATGCAAACAGGAATTTTGACATTTATTATATGATGGTAAACTTTCTCTTCACAACTTTTCACCCAATTCCCCATAGTTACATAATAGGCTTCATTTTCATAATATAAACTATGGATATAATTAATGCTATCCACTGCAGGTTGCAATAGAGAGATCAGATCGACTTCAAAATGAAGTAAATCGTTTAACTCAAGAACTTCAAACTGAACAAGAATCATGTCGTAGAGCAGATACAGCAAGACGACACTTAGAATCTGAGTTGAAAGAGTGTAATGCAAAAATTCTTGAGAGTAGAAGAGCTGCTGATACAGCGGAACGTGAAGCAGACGATATGAAAAATCAAACTGAGTTTAAAATCAGGGAATTACAAACAGCATTAGAAGAGGAATCGAAGAAAACAAGAGAGGCACAAAGTCAATTAAGGTTAGAAATTCTTTTCCAATTTGTAAAAACGTTTTAACATAAGTTGAGGATTATTTTATAAGATTTATCTCTTCAATTTATTTTATCTGTAGATCAAGTGGTTTCTTTTGTAAACGGAAATGATTTCTTTTCCTATATAGGTAGAAACTGATAGGAATGATAGTAACCAACGTGATGAAATCCTGGCATTTACAAGTATTCATACCGTCATATAAACATACTTCTAGTGAGAATCATTAAATATTCCAACATTTCGCAGAGATAATGAATTTATCTGGGAAGGTTAATATACCACGGGATGAGTTATATTTAGTATGTTTAGGAGCTTATAACGCTACCTATTTTCTTTGGTTATACTTTAGGAATCGGTTAGTAAATTGCATATTTTAGATACCCTAATAATACTCAAATGATGTAATCCTGTTATGTAAAGACGTTGACAGGATACAGAGTCTTCTGGACGCCTTGAGTGTCAGTTTGAGAATACTTGGGATACGTTTCTCACCATCCCAGTGCCAATTTTTACTTAGATATTGGTTCTGAACAATACTCTGGTTATAAAGTTGGGAGTGGAGTGATTGACAGCGCTGAACAGTCTACTTATCTAGGAAGTTGGATTAGCCCCAGTGGGTCAGTGGCCGATTAAATCTCGTCACGGATACAAAAGACTACATTGACTTTCGCTAACTTAGGCTATATGTGGCGCCACCGCGACATCTTACTGTCTATTAAGGGTCAAGTGTAATGTAGTGTAGTTCACTCTGTTCTACTGTTGGGATGAGGGACATGGACATTAATGGCAGAGGACATGAGAAGGCTTTAGGTGTTTGACAGTCTTTACCTTCTTAGCACACTCCATATGCCATAGTGTCACCATGTCAGTCACGCAGAAGTCAGGCGTAGAGTTTTAGGTGAAAGAAGTAAGTCACTTGATTAGATCGTAAACCTTCATCGACCAAGATGCCTAGGACATGTGTTACATATGCCTAGTTACCATCTGGCTCGTCACGCAATGTTGACTGAAGCATGTTCAGGCTGAAAAAACGCTCGCGACGACCAAACAAAAATTTTAGCATCATCGCATAAAGTCTTTCACTGTTGATATGAGCCATCTAGAGAGATGCACACTAGCCGGTTGGGGTCCACTTGACAACGGAAACCATTGACTGGAGACTCTCGGTGATGTAACCAGAAATCGATATCAGTGGTTCATATGTATCTATTCATTATATTAATCTTGATCTCTGTATGAAATTCGGCATTTCTGAGTACTCCATTCTCTCTTTTACTGTTTTATACACTCTACTATCTTTTCTCTATTTATTTATTTATCTATTATGTTAATGTTTTGTTACCCCGTGTGCTGATATGAGGTGTGGCAACTTGGACTGTTCTGCAGTTATACCTGGCCCTATGTTTATCTCAAGCATATTAGTGATTAGATTCAATAGTCTTATAATTTTAAAAATGAATGACGAAGGTTCACGTATAATAAATATCAGCTTGCATCAACCGAACGTTTAACTATACTGGAATGAACTCAAAATGTGAAATACCAGTTGTATTAGTTATCCATAAAATAAGAGAAATATCAGACTGCCAAACCATGGCTGTCTTAGGAAGTTACATCAGCCCGAATGAGTTGAATGTAGCAGAAAACTCAGCTGTGATACAAAAAAGCTTTTTAGTACTTGTAAACTTGCACCGTCTCTAACACGCGTGAGGCTTCTCACCATCTTGATTACAATCGTGAGGTCACTATGTGAGTAATACTGAGGTTAAGTAAGGAGCATTAGATTAGGTTTGTAAGTCGAACAAAGTGGTTACGATCCTTCAGTGACTGAGATAGTCTGGACAATCGTTATAAATACCGAACCACTGCCCACACTGAGGTTCAATGTTAGCTGAAGCTGAGTTAAGTTAGGGCTCAAGATGGCCATATTAAAATGTAGCACTAATGCATAAAATCTCTGACTTAGTGTGGGCTTTGTAGGGCAATGTACAATGTCTGGCTGAGGTTTGTGAGATGATAGAAATCAGTGGTTAAGGAATTATAGAGACATCGGTGAAAATCAGCCACAACAGTGCAAATGTATTCACTCTTTAACATCTTCGAAAGTTTGAATATTTTTACTAACCTGGATCTTCAAATTCATTATCCTTCCATGTATCTCTGTCTACCCGCTTGTTCTCTTCATGTTACTGTGAATTGTACGGGAATCTGAACCGATTAACGTCTGTGTGTTTTTATTTTACCCTGCTTGCTCGTTTCACCTTCTTCTCAGGTAGTAAATGTTTGGTAGTTATACGAAAATATTGGGTTGTACAGTTTTCTTGTAATAAACCATTACTAATTATCTGGTAGTATCGTTTCAAGACAAGTAATAATCCAGGTTAAATTTTGTTCAATCTCAAAATACTACTGATCCTTTAAATTAGTAAATAAAGGAAAGTCATATATTAACACAGTTTTGTAATGAGTTTTTATACTAAAGCTACCAATAATGATATGATTATTACTCTTATTTGTTTTACTAAAGAAAATGTGAACGATCACTTAAAGAATCACTTCAAGCTGAACAAGACGCTGGACATATGATCAATGAATTGCGTGAAATGATTGAACGAACTCAAACAAAATTGAAGCAAACTAGGCGACAACTGGAGGAAACTGTATGTTCCATTTAAAGCATAAATGTATACTATTGGATGATGACAGTATGCCTTTAAGAGAAAAACAATTTTCAGTGATGTAGTTTGCACTATGCATTTCGAACAATCTGATCACACTTAAGGCATTATATATGAAAACTGAAAGTGGGGGAAGGACAAATATGATATAGAGGAATACAATAATAAGAGAGATAATGAAAGGACAAAAAGATAAAATTTGAGGACAACCTTGGTTATACGATAAAATGAGTATTACTAAGGTAGGCTTAATGTAATGATAAACGGTTTTTGCACACACAAAGGAGGGCTAAATTTGTTTATGGCTAGTGCCTCAACAAACTTAAGTCATACGCCCCTGACAGTTTCTATACAAAATTGTAAAAGCTGTTTTAATATCAATCCTGTAACTCTTATCAATGATATGTTTTGCAATGGATCATGATGGTTGTCTGCAGCCTGTGCTTATCGATGTTTGTGAATCCAGTTGCTTTTGTAGTCATTTGGGAACATGTTACCCTACCCTCAAATGCATATCACGATTAGTCCTCCCTATGTATGTTTTTCCACACACATATGTAAATTTATAAACGCAATGGGATGTGACGCAATCATTTATACAGCGTTGAGATCTATGTTGCAGCAAGTGTTTAGTCTTCTCAAGTACGATAAGCTCAGCTGCATAGTACATTTTGCTAACAGCAGACCTTAACCTTCGTTTTAATATTATGTTGTTACATTCTCCTCTGTATGGTAACGCGATGTAAACGCATTTCTTCGAAATAGAGAACAGATTAGGTTTGAATCCTCTCTGATTTTTGTAGCGGTTTATGAACTTCAATGGATTTGCATTTTCCACTAATGTTTCTGTTAGTATTTTGATATCATTATCCATTGAATCTTCCGTACGAATAATCTGGATCCCTTTAAATAGGCAAGTTACCAAACTTCGCTTTCAGATAATCTACATCTTCTAATTACATTAACCATATTTGAAATTTCATGCATATGGTTGACTTGGTGAGATATTTTGAATGTAAAGTTTCACTTGAGATGAAATAAAGTTAAACAACTAGGCAAATTCTGTCTACATATATAAGAGATTTTATCGCCCTTGTAGTTGTAGTATTCATATCTTTGGGGAATATTGATCAGCGATGACATTTAATAAAGCTCGCACTATTTTGATAATTGATAGAAGTAGGCAAATGTAAATAAATGAATCGTGACACAAGAATTCAATGGTAATGGGTCCACCAAAAATCCTAAAGGTCCTGGATCGGATCCCTAGCGGGGTCATGAGTGTGCGCTGCTGAGAAGTCTCAGACCAGAACGAAACAACCTATCAATGCTCCCAAGTTCTTAGTGTCAGTGAGTAATGAATGACAATTTGATTTATTTTCTTTATTCTTTAATAAGTTCATGTATGCTATACAAAATTAGTATGATTCATTTCAAAGAACGTGATACAATCTTCCATGTTGAAAGTAAGTACTGATAGCATATTTAAACAAGTATACAGAGAATGAGTTATCTTGATCAAATATTCATTGAACAAATCGAGTAACCTCAATTCTTACTTTTTTCAAAAACTATTCTATGTACGGCAACGATTATCATTGTACATGCATAATTTATTGTTGTTTACAGGATAATAACTCAATCTTACTTACATTACTTTGAATATATATCGATAGCAAGCAGCTTTCATCACATATTGGCCAGTTAAAGTTTTATTGTTCATCAACATCTGTGTATAAATTAGCCAGCTAAGTAATGACACCCTAACTGTAACACATTCAAATCACTTTTTTTTGACAGAAATTACCACAAATCATCATACTAGTCTTATACTGTTTCGAAATCATTTACATTTTCAATGGGAAGGAATGATTTGAAGTTGAAGCAGTTTATACACTGACAATGACTAAACAATTATTGAACATTTAAGATTCAAGTAGACATGGTAACTGATGTGTTCAACATTTCATCCTTATAGGGTGTTTAGTACAGCTTTAAATCTCAAGGTCGCTGATATAAATCCCTTAGAAGTCTAAGTAATCTTTCATCTTCCATAAACATTTTAGTATATTGACTATGAATCGTCAAGATGTAGAAATCTTACAGTCAACTAATTTTAATTTCAAGTTATTATTCATCGAAGACTGACATCAGTTGGAGGAACAAAGGAAACCTGGGAGCACTGGACAGCTGTTTCGTCCGACTAGTATGGGACTCCTCACCAGTGCGCACCCACGACCCCACCAGCAGGGATCGAACCCTGTCCAGTGCTCCCAGGTTTCCTTTGTTCCTCCAACTGATGTCAGTCTTCGATGAATAACAACTTGAAATATTTCCAAATCTCCACAACCCCCTCAAAATTTAATTTGAATTTGTTTATTTTTCTGTCTATAGGAGAATGCTGCACAAACAGCTATGATGAAATATCGTCGAGCACAACAACAATTAGACGATGCAGATTTACGAATACAAATTGCTGAAAGAAAAATCAGTACAAGTACTCAAGAAGATAATTCAATAATATATGGAAATTATAATAGACAACGATCTGGTAGTCTTTATCCAGCTAGATCAAGAAATTATTCTGTTACACGTGAAGGTTCAGTATACAGTGTTATGAGTGAATTACCATCATCTCCAAATAAAACTCGTTTTCAATTAAACACACCAAGACAATACAATCAGAATAGTTCTGTAGGTAATCAAAAAGATATAGGCAGTTCTATAAGTCTACTTGATCTTCCACCAGCTGAAACTAATATTAATTGATTCTACTTCAGTGAATTAGACAAAATAATCCTTCAACAATTTAAGAAATAGTTACAATTTCCTTTATTCTTATGCATTTCCATTATAATATTTTAGCATTTTGTTTCAACGTATATGAATTCATTAATTAAAAGAATTAGGAGTATCAGAATAAAATTATACATTCACATCCTAATATCATCTTATATAGAACATTAGTATGGGATAACATCAATTGAAAGGGATTGGATATTTTTCGTTAGCTTGTTGTACATTTAAGTATTTCGTATAAATTGATTGATACATGCTTTCTACCCATTTTTATCCTTTATATATAGTGAATTTTAGTAAACATTTTAGACTATAATTAATATATATATATATATATATATATATATATATATATATATATATTATAATTACTGGACTATATAAAGTTCATTGTTTCATTCCCTTGATCATTTTATTCATTTGCTAACTTTAAAATAATAATAATAGTAATAATTAATTAGGTGACTTTTCTTTATTCAAAAAAAAATCCTTGTATGTAAAAATTGTTGGTGTTAACTTTCTTCCCGATATATGATTGTTAAAGGATATTAAAAAGCAACCAAGTCTAATTAGGGGTGTAATGTATTAGTATCCGGTGGAGTGATGTTACAAATCTTCAATACAGTAGTTAGTTTTCAGTTAGATTGAACTTTTAGTATAATGTCATCATGCTAATCATAAGAAAAATATGATTACTATTTGTAACCTACGTGGTATTCATCATAATAATAATTATTTATCCCTTTGGTTCCTAATGGAACATACGGCTTCATTAACACGTCTCTATTACACTCTCTTCTCTCCGGCCTATTCAACCTGACTCCACCACTCCTCACAAGCTCTCATTTCTTCCTCACATAATCTCCTACATGTCACCCTCACTTCGAACACCCAACTCGTCATTTCCCCTTTGGATTCCACTCAACAACCTCAGCTACCACGATGTACAAAACAAAAGTGTAATCCGCATATTCAATTAAAAACACAACTAATCTTTCTTAACATCGATGTACGGATGTCTATATAGAGCATATTTTGAATTGGAGATACAGAACGATTAGTTCGTTTGAAAATGCCAAGCTCTTAGGCATAGAAAATCATAGTCGTAAAATTCCACTTTTATGGTTCTCACAACAGGACATATAAATTTGAGATGCCTGTGGTTTAATGGTCTTGTATTGATACTGGGTGATGACTGAAGATGAAGTTAATATCCCGTAACCAGATAAGTCTCATAGCTTGATTGATAGAATATTGAGCAGGTGACTCAGAGGCCGCTGGTTCGAGTCCCTTCATGGCCCAGATTTTCATTTCACCTCCAATCATCCATCAACCAGGAATATATATATACTGTTATTATTATTTGTCCTTTGAATTCATAGTCGAACATACGGCTGCAGTAACACGTCTCCATTACACTCTCTTCTCTCCAGTCTATTCAACCTGACTCCAACACTACCCACAAACTCTCATTTCTTCCTCACACAATATCCTCCATGTCACCCTCAACTCCGACACCCGACTCATCGTCGTCGTTTCACATCTGCCTTCCACTACACCTACTGGCCCCGCCTGGCCTGGCCTGGCCTGGCCTGGCCTGACCTGCTACGTCATGTCCCAAAACCGTCTTCTCAGTACATGCCCAATCCATCTCCACTTCCTTCCAGTGCATATTTGTTGAGTGATAGATTCTTGATTCGTTGGTTCGTTGACAGCCAGCCAGCCAACCAGCCAGAGTTCCTTGTTACTCATTCTTTCTGACAATCCATCTGAGCTTGAGTAAGGAGTCGGTGTAGACAGTTGTTGATGAATATCTGTAGTTTGTTGGAGATGCCTTTCGTCTCTCAACCATGAGATGGAAGCACTGACTCACTTGACTGACGTTGGTGTTGAAAATCCAGATGTTGTTGACGCTTCATGCTGAGTGCAGTGCAGTGCAGAAGGTTTCCACACTGATTTCAGCTTGATGAATGCCTGTCTTGCTGTCTTTCTGATGCTGTCTGACTTTGATGTCCTCGTGTTTGCCAGTGCTGCCTGTAGTTGAAACGATGCTGCCTTGCCTAGATGGGTGAGAGAGACTACTTTCTTCAAGTTTCTCTCGTTGATGCTGATTGGAGCTTGTTGTTGTTGTTGTTGTTGGTGGTGGTGGTGGTGTTGGTTTGGTATCTTCATTACCTCTGTCTTCTCTACGACAATACCATGTAGAGAGATGTTAAAACTCACACGCTAGGTACCTGAAAAACATCGTGTAGGATTCTCAATAAAGCTAGGATAAGAGTAGCATTTAGACCTACAAACACTTAAAAATAAGCTTTGAAACTTAAAAGAAAATCCTGTTGATCTAATAAAATAGAGTAGTTTAGTTTACCAAATCTCTTGCAAAGACTACGAGGTCAAACACATAAGTAAAAGCATTGAATCAGGATCAGTTAGGATAACAGAGGTAATAAACTTTTCTAAATGAAGATCAGTAGGTCTTTATAAAATAAGAAGTTTAGAGAAAAACTTGACTATAGGTATGTTTTGAATTAAACACGGTCACACAATAGGATGGGACAGTGTGTGTAAATCTTTAAGACTAACTTACAGTATTGGAGGAAGAGACTGATAACTGAATCCTCGTTGATCGAATCAACACCTAATACATGCAACAAGAAGACTCATCATTTATTCCGCATATCTGAAAAATCTTACTATCTATTCCATAAAGGAGGAGAGGAAATTAGGACTACATAAATCATGTCTCAAAGTTGTATAGTTATCTTGATATGACTATGGACAAAAAATGATGTCCAAAAGGTAATCCGGTAAATATTGTTGCGCTGTGTGATAAATCTAATATTAAATTTTGAGGGGGTTGTGGAGATTTGGAAATATTTCAAGTTGTTATTCATCGTAGACTGACATCAGTTGGAGGAACAAAGGAAACAAAGGAAACCAACTGATGTCAGTCTTCGATGAATAACAACTTGAAATATTTCCAAATCTCCACAACCCCCTCAAAATTTAATTGAACTAGTGCTCGTTGGTGACTAGCTTCGAGAAGTATTCCCGAAATTCCAATGACAAGTCGTGACCAGTGGAGTCAAAGCCTGATGGCCGTGAGGACAAATACTCAACGATGACATTGGGTGGCGGTTTGCGCTATATCGTGAGCTAACAGAAGTTGGAAATATGGAGCATTGGATTCTGACCCAGTGGCTCAATGGTAACGCGCTGGTCGCGGAACCTGAAGGTGGCGGGTTCGATCCCTGCTGGTGGGGTCGTGGGTGCGCACTGCCGAGGAGTCCCATACTAGTCGGACGAAACAGCTGTCCAGTGTTCCCAGGTTTCCTTTGTTCCTCCAACTGATGTCATTCTTCGATGAATAACAACTTGAAATCTAATATTATTATCTTATTATTTTTCCCTTGGTTTCCTAGTGGGACATTGCGCTTCAGCAGCACATAGCCATTTCACTCGGTTCTCTGCAGTCTTTTGAACCTCGCTCCACGAAAGCTCATAACCTTTCATTTCTTCCTCACATCATCTCCTCCATATCACCCTCGAACAACCTACTCGTCGTTTCCTATTTGGGCCCCCCTCGAGGGCCTGACCTAGTGCGTGATGCCTCCGAATGGTCTTCTCAGTGTATGCTCAATCCATCTCCACTTTCTTCTGCATATTTGTTGGGCGATAGGTTCTTGGTTAGTTCACTCCCAGAGTTCCTTGTTGCTTATTCTTTCCAGCCATTTGATCTTCAGTATCGAGCCAGCGTAGGCAGCTGTTGATGAATGTCCGTAGATAAATTTAATAAATCAAATAAAATAGAATAAGACTGAATCGTAGTAAAAATTATTGAATACAATTCCGTAATTAATATAGGTGTAAAAATTCAGCACTGTGGTAGAATTTAATTCCGTATTAGATTTATTTAACCTCTCCTGGTTAACTAGTTCACCAGTTACTAGCCGATCCTAAGCCCAATAAAGAGGGAAGGTTGAGCATAGGGATAGCAACCCTACCTCGTAAAACCAATCCAACCGCTAAAGAAACTCCAAAGCATAAACAAAATTCAAAACACAGAAATAAACTTATTCCTCGTTGGGATTGGGGAGACGGAATGACACCGGTTGGTGAAAGACTTCGGAAAGTCAATTTGCTGAGGCATCTTCTCTCGATGAAAGCAATAGTAAACATGAGGACATGAAGTGTCCGCACCATGTTTGAACCTAGCAAGGCTGCCCAGATTGCAAAGGAGATGAGAAGGTATCTCATTGAAGTGTTAGGAATTTGCGAAGGCAGATGGAATGGAAGTGGACTCTCCAAACTGTCAACTGCAGAGTCAATAATCTACTCCGACATTGTCACCTAGACGACAACCACGAGCACACTGAGTTATGGAGTGTCTATCATTGATGTCCAATACAGCATCGAAGGCTCTGTCTCATGCAGTGGGAACCGATCTCCTCCAGTATCAGGATCATGACAGCAAGATGAACTGAACTCAAAAGGAAGGAAAGTCACAATCATTCAATGCTCCGCTACGCTGTGCACCTACAAATAATGCAGATGAAGAGAAGAAGGAGGAATTCTACAGACAACTTCAATCAACACTGGACAAGACCCCACTGCAGTTGGCGATACCGAAATTCTAATGGGTGGGGCGACATGAATGCCAAACTGGGAGCGAATAACACAGGAAGAGAACTAACCATGGGTCGAGAAGCGCTCGGTGAGGTGATGAACGAGGATGGAGAATCGTTTGCAGAATTCTGTGCATTCAACGATTTGGTGATTGAAGGTGAGGCAGTGTGTTCAAGCACAAGGATATTCACAAAGTGAAATGAATTTCACCAGATTGACACACTGGAATTCAGATTGACTTCATTTAAATGTGAAAAAAGTGGAGATGCAGCCAGTCTACTGGACACAAGATGAAGAAGGAGAGCAGATGTAGGTTCACACCACTGACTATCTAGTGCAAGGAACCTAACTTCAAGATCAAGTTGAAAGCCTTCAATTCAAAGAAGTTGGTGATAGACCACAGTTGAAGTTCAACACCCAGAGCAGAAACTGTAGGACGAAACTATAAGGGACATGTTCACGTCAGCCATCAAGACAAAATGGGAGATATCGAGGAACATCCCTGAAGAAACCTGTGTGGATGAGCACTGGAACTCTTTGTAAGCTATGTGGAAAGAAACCTGCACAACAGTATTAGGAAGGAAGAAGAAAGAAGATAAGGAGTGGTTCTCGACGGACACATGAAAGCTGATAGAGCAGAGGAAGATGTTGAAGCAGAAGATAAACCAGTGCAAGGATAAACGACGTGAAGAGGAACTGAGTA